TCCGGCCAATTCTTGTTGGAAACCGCTGACGTGGCAGCGTGCCGCCTAGGACGGCCGGCGACTACTAGACCGCCACGTCAATAATTTCCGGCGAGAATCGGCCGGAATGAATGATTGCATTGGAATTTCTGTGCAAAAGGTTTAGGATTAAATCGGCGAAATCGAAAAATCTGAGTATTCAATAGGCATCCGCACAATAGGTTCACAACCGATCGGGTAATTCTCCCGAAGATCTCGAGTGACAAAGCACGCACACTTTCGAACGCAAACATGTCGAGCCGATATATATACTTCGAGGGCAAACCGGAAACCGCTTTGGCCGTGTTACACACCGTAGAATGCCGCGGTCGCGATCATTTCGAAGATAATTAATATCCGTTCATACCGAGGACGGATCGTGGATGCCGACTCGAAAGAACCCGTGAAAACACCGCGGCCCCCCGATCGAATAATTCAGCCTTTAAAATGGTAATGATCCCAATGGAGCTAAGCTAACGGAGCTAGGGAACGTCGCTGGCAAGAGCACCAATCAGCCCGACATTCCACGGGAAAAAAAAAAACATTAATCCGAGATTAGCCCGCTAATCAAATGTAATGTCCAATTTGATTAATCACGCACTCCCACGATTCATTGAACCCAAGAAGGCGACCGACATGCGCACGCACGAAAACGAAATCCCCCACTCTCTTCCGATGTTGACTCGAACGGCCATCGAACGAGCCCCGAACCATCCTTACCGTAATATAGGAAGGGACGGGGGTTTCGCTCCCCGGTGAGCGGGCGAGAGTCCGAGGCTAGCTGCTCCGGGCCCCTCCAGCCGCAGCCGCTAGAGGACGTTTATAGTTTATGCCCGTATTTTATTGGTAGTTTGGGTTTGTGTTCACGAATAGATACTGAGTGTATACATATAGTATCTTTCTCTTATAATTAAGGGATGTAGTAGAGACGTGCGATGTGCTAATTATGGCAGAATCCTTTGTCGGACGTAAGGCGAACCACGATAAAGACATCGGGGTCTCGATTTCCTTTTCTCGCTTTTACTCTCCCAATTTCCTTGCGATCGTGCGCCGAATCCCAACATCGTCGTCGGACCCGAAAGGTCGCCTGTCCCGGCTCCTGCGCGCCAGATGTAACTGACTTTATCTATTTACTTTTTTTATTAATAGGGTGGGTTACTATCGAAATCGCTTTTCAAACTAAACACGGTAAGTGATACGATGGAGATTGCACGTTGATGCAAAAAAAACAAGCGAGTCGCATTCGTTATGCGACAAAAAAGAAAAATGTCATATTACCTCCTTCTTCTTCTTCTTCTTTTTGGGGTCAAGGATGTCATTTTACTTTAATTTGTTAATTTTAAGCATTAACATAAAAAAATAATTCCTCATGGTTCCGTTTTGCGTAAGGGTTCTCGCCGTAGGGCCCAGGCCCGAGGAAAGAGTTTTCATGCCCCCAACTGCTTTCCCGATTATGCCCTTCCATCTTCACCCCCCCGGGAAATTACTGCAATGCCCATCAAGCCGTCGATTCCTCCACCCGTCCGTGTTTAACTTTGCCCCGTGTGGGACTCGACTTAACTTGAATGCTTCTTACGTGCACGAATTATTTTTAAAAAAAATTTAGTGAATGTCACGAAAGAATTCTAAGATTTTTCCCCAAAACCTTCTTTCCCGTACCTTTAAGTTCGTATTAATGACCTAAAAGTAGTACATTTCTGTCACGGTTCCGTCGCGATAGCCGTTAAAAATCCGACATGGCAGCATGGGTCGACAAGGCCGAGTGAGATTTTATACGGCCATGAAAGACGGAATACGGGTTCCGAAGTTACTGGTCGCGCGAAAAAAAAACTTGAAGTATTCGTGTGCAACGGAGCAAAATTTAGGCTTTTTTTTTTTGTAGGATTAACCCTAAAAATAGCTAATACAAATTTTGTATCGGGGTTACGATGGAACCACATAATTGATTACGGAGTTGTATAAAATTCTTATCCATCCTTGGTTTTTGTGTACCCGGTGCTTGAGGTCATTCGCATTTCATTAACTGATTGAGTTGATCACAGCAGCGAGCTCACCTCAAATATGAAAATGACCCTTTAATTCACTTGAACATGACCGGCACGTTTCGTCAATGAACATGTGGAATAATATCAGCCGCATTTCTTCTAGTCGACCGCATGCAATGACGTACTTATGCCTAGTTTCGCGACTGCAATTATTAGCTGATGCTCTTCCCATCGTCCCTCTCATTCGTGTACCGAAGTCATGGTACATCTTCAACACACCACATTTCCTAAACCATATTGGATTCTTACCATATGGTAAAACAACAGAACCGACCCACGTGACAATTTTTTGTTGCATTGAGCATGTCGTGCACATCACATGATTAGGAAATGCGTTGTGTTCCAGACTACCGTGACCATGATTCGTGAACGAAGGAGGATCACATTTTCAATGGCGGGTCCGCCAACCCCAATCAAACCTATGCTATCAATCAGTACGCGTGATTTCGTCTTTTTCATGTGATCCTTCCTAAGCGTTTTGCAATCCTATGTTTCGTAACAATTCATTTGAATCTCATAATTGCTTGCACTATCGCTAATTTGATTATTCATGCTCTAGAATGAAAAGGAAAGCATAAGAAGTAGTAGTTAGTCAACCTTCTTGACCGTTTGCACCAAATTCGTACAAATCATGGTCTTGATTAATCATGAAATCTTTTGACCATAAAACTTAATTATGAAATCTGGAAGAGGTGCCGGCCCAAAAAAGGAAAAAAAACAAGGAAGGCGTGGAAAGACAATAGAAAATCAGCAATACACATTTGACAAAAAGAAAAGAAAAGAGAGAAGAATTTACGATACACATCTGACGATAACTTGTGTACTAAATCATTCTACGGAGAAATTACAAAATCAGTCATAAACTTTTTAATTTTACCTACCTAGTCCAAAATCTTTATGCGAAATTCTAGTATAGTCATTTTAGTGAACTTTCTCTGAAAATTGCTGACGTTGTTTTTTTGTCATTGCCAACCGATCTTTGTGGCACACCTCTGCTTCAGCATCTTCCGGCAAAAATTCACCGGAAGGATTGCATTAGAATTTTGCAAAATGATTTATGATTAAATTGGCAAAATTAACAAGTTTATGACTAAATTAACGTTAGCACAATAGATTGAGGATTGTTTAGACAATTTCCCCTCGACCTATGCTTGGTACTCAGCTCCCCGTGATCCAAATGGGATCATTTGGTATGGCTCATCATCGACATCAAGTGATGCATCTGCGATGATTTAATATCATTTGGTGGTACATGCAAGGAAGCAAAGATGAAGGTTCCTAATGTCCAAATTTAATCTGTTGTTTATCTTGTCCTCTTGTAGCGAAATGGACTAGTACCCAATCATAAGAATGCGCGCCAACTTTTGCCAAGGAAACTAGAATAATTGATTCATCAACTTACCACATTGACTTGTAATCCGCAAATAATTAAAGGAAAATTACACAAATGGTTATTAAATTTTGGCATAATATGCAATTTCGTCCCTGATCTTTTAAGGCCTAATTAAAAAAAAAAGCACCAACTTTAGGTCAAGGGACAATTCTGACCCGAACTTTTTTTTGTCTCATAAAAAAGCACCAACTTTAGGTCGAGAGACAATTATGGCCTGAACTTTTTTTTGTCTCATAAAAAAGCACCCACTTTAGGTCGAGTGACAATTTTGGCCCAAATTTTTTTTGTCTCATAAAAAATCACCAACTTTCACCCTGATCCCAAATCTGGCCCACCATTAACTTTCTGTCTGAAGTCACCGTTGTTTGAGAAAAAAAGGTTATGGTGGTGAGCTTGGCGAATCTCGTCCATGGCGTCTGTCGATAGGTGATGGTTAGCTTCGGATTACATCTAGCCAGAAAGATTCAATCTGGAGATATTTTTGACTTGCCGGTAAAGTGAAGGATACGAATAGTTTCACTGTTATTCTTCAAATTGCGATTCAGAGAAAAAGACACTGAATATTGCATTAAATCCAGTCAGCAAGCCACGTGGATTTATTACTAAGGTGGAATAGTCAAGTTAGATAATTAATGGTTCTAAGTTAATGAGGGCCTGATTTGGGATTTAAGTGAAAGTTGGTGCTTTTCTACGAGACAAAAAAAAGTTGAAGCTAGAATTGTCACTTGACCTAAAGTTGGTGCTTTTTTATAGGACAAAAAAAAGTTCGGGCCAAAATTGTCCCTCGACTTAAAGTTGGTGCTTTTTTACGAGACAAGAAAAAGTTCAGGCCAGAATTATCTATCGACTTAAAGTTGGTGCTTTTTTTTGGAATTAACCCGATCTTTTAATTTGTTTGATGAGGCCCCTGAAACCCAATGTGCAATATCGTTCCTACACTTTTAATTTGATGTTCTATTTAGTCCTTAGATTATATGAAAATGTTCAACATTGTCTTTCCATTAATTCAAGTACGAGGACAACATTGAACGTTTTCATTTAGTTCATTGACTAAATTGAACATGTATAAGAAGTCCAAGGACCACATTGAATAAATTAAAAGTTCAGGAATAACACTGCACATCGAGCTAAATTTCAGTGACCATATTGAACAAATTAAAAGTTCAGGAACCACATAGCACATTGAGTCAAAATTCATGGACTATTCATGTCATTTTTCCAATAATTAAGGGCAGAAAAAAAAAGCACAAAAGAACCGGAAGAATATCGAGAGAAGAAAGCACGTTTTAAGCCGAAATGTTTTGAGTTCTAATTCATGTTTCTAAGTTTCTGGGGCCGCCTCTAATTCATCGTTAAATTGTGATTAAAAATGTTTTGGCCTGGATCCGGCAAATTTCAAATTTAAATCCCGATTCCCGGCCTCCGGGTATCCTTTAGGCCGTGGATATCGTGTCACGGCAAAGTCGAGTCGGAACGTTCGGATACCTAATTTCGATAAATGCAAATTCCCAACTTAAGTTGACTGGCTTGGAGCATCTCTTGGGTCAATAATACTACAATGGCCGATCTGTCATTTCCGGCTTCCCAGTTCCCGGTGGCAGTCGGCGTGGATTCACTGAAGTTTCGGGGCAATTCAGGAGACTCGCTATATTATAATAGAATCTTGGTTCCCCTGCAGTGGGGAGCTCTGCTCTCTCCTCTTCCTAAAGAAAGAAGAGACCCATGAAACCAGTTTCACTGGGGGCTTACTGGAAAACATTGATTTCCTCGCTCAAAGGTCGGTTTTGTCAACAGCTCGTTTGGGTTTGAACCGACCCCTCCTCCGTTCTTGCTCTGAGAACCGTTCATTTCCCAGTTTTCCCCTTCTGCTCTCTGTTTTCTTGGCACGTTCTGTGTTCATTGAAGCTGAGTGATTGATTCTTGGACGAAATTTTTTTTGGGGGGATGGATCATCAGACAAGACTTGAATCTTTGCTTTCTGAATTTGGATTCGTGAAGGATTGAATGTTGGTAAGCTATTTTTGGTGTTTTTCCTCGTTTAGATGAGTGGCACTGACGTATTCTTTGCTCTGTTCTTGGGATTCGCGTGTTCTTGATGATTCTGGAGGTAAAAAGCTTTTGTCTCTGGCAAAGGAATAGAAAGTCCGAGTCCTCTGAATTTTGGAAATTGCATTTTTGTTGGTTTGGTATTTTTGTTTGCGAAACCTGTCTCTCTGGGAAGTGGGAGCATCATCGGAAGTTCGTATTTTCCTTGCTGATTGCATTGCTAGTCTCCTTTGGAAAAAAATGGCTTACCTAATTTATCGTGGCGATAGAAATAGGCAACTGGGTTTCTGGTGAATTAAGAATTAATTTCTTCATGTCGGCATAGAGCTGAAAGTGAAGTGCTCTGTTTTTCCAGGATGTGATTGTCGATCATTTCAGGTCAAATGTGGTCCATCCATCCTTTTTCCCTCATGTAATAAACAGACGTAGAGTCGCTTATTTTAAGTATATTTTTCAGCTGAATCAAATCTCATCAAGAGCTACATCTGTACCTTCACACGGGTTGGAGCCCTCTCTGGATACTACTCGGAAGGTGTGGCGTTAGTTTCATGAGATTATCCTTCATATATTGTGGAGAGCAAATAATTCAAGCAAAGTTCTCTGTTCAAATCTTAGAGCAGACAATGTGCCAAAACTCAGATGAGTTATTTGATCCACTCGGTAGTAACCAGATTGAAGTGATTTTTCGTTTTCTTTGCCTAGAAATCACTCTCAAATACCTGTATGAAAAGATTAGAATCTGCATATAGAGAGCAGCTGTCTCTACATGGTAGACATTCAAACCTGGGGTTCTTGGGTGTGTAATCAGCTTAATCTGGTTTATGTTTTGGTTGCTTGCAATACTTAAGGGCTTGTGACATGCAATATCATGATTTTCATGCGAGACTCCTTGCTTGTTCTTGTCTGGTTTTGGTTTGTCAGCCTTTGCTGAGTAGACTTCCTTTCGTATGTTGGATGTTAAGATGTGGAAAATGCTTCAGAGTGTAAAGCGAGATGGACAAAGTAAAGAAAAATAGACAGGAGAATATATCCTCCTTAGTATTCCTATATACCTTTTCTGCCGTGAAAGGCTCAGTGAGTAAGACATTCCGTACTTGCATTTTAAGTCACTGAATTTCCAAGTGTCTATCAGGTTTTACCGGACTATTGTATAGCCAGGTCCTTATTCTGCAAAACATTAAGCCATTGCCTTCTCTCTCATTGAAGAAAAAGGAAGAATAGACATGTTCTACAAGCAAGACACCAAGGTTGCCTGGTGTGCTTTGGAAGAATAAAATATGATTCCTTAAACCTTGTTCAATAGTGGTTCAAATTCATGCGTGAGATGCAGAAGTATGCAGTTTGATCTTTCGTGATTTCAAGGCTTTGCATGACTTTTCTTATGATTGTCAAACTTGTTTTATGGTTGTTGTCCTTCCTGAAGCCTGTTTTAATTCCATTCTTGCTCATCTTCTCCCTCTCCTCTTTTTATGTACGCTAGTATTACTATCTCTCTTGATCGTGGTTTCTTCTTCACTTTACTATAGTTGTAGTTCTAGGGCTTCTATGCATAGCCACATTCCAGAGACCTCTCCAGTAGAAGAGTTTATCGCCTGAATGAGCATGCAGTATTTCTTCAGCAGGAGGATTTTTGCATCTTTATGACCTGCCCTGCCCCTGATATTTCTAAACTACCTCGAATCTGTGTACTTTTTCTGCATCCATCATTCATGCCGATGCATCTTTACTCGGAGATGTTTCGCATTACTTCATTACATCCTCTTTGTGGGGTGGAAAAAAGTCACTGATGTATTCAACTTGTGGTGTGCAGGGTTTGGCTGCTTGGTTAGAGCTCATCAATATGCAAGTTAACTGGCAAACTGAGAACCGAACTCGATAGTTTTACCCTGCCATATAGTGAGCAGGTGGTCCTCCAAAGTGAATCGTTCGTCAGATGCAAGCATCACAGAAGAAGAGTCATTTAAGCATGTCGAACAAACTTTATTATCAGTCTGCACGTGAGATTGGCACCTATTGCTTGCCTCAGTTTCATACTTTAGATTGCCACCCTTGCTACTATCCCATGCAGAATCTCCCGGATAAATACTGCACCCTCGAGTCATCCTCCGCTAGTGGAGGTTATGCTATTTACAACTCACCATCAACCATCAGCTTCTCATCCAACGGGAGTCCTGTATCCCTGCAAGATTCCGTGTCTTATCCACCTGATGCCCTACACTCCCCAGATAATACCTACGCCTCCTCCATAAGTGGGTCTTGTGTCACCGACGATGCAGGTGATTTTTTGCACAAGCTGAGAGAATTGGAGAACGTAATGCTGGGACCTGATTCGGATATTCCCATTAACTATGAGAGGAGTTTTCAGAAGGGGATCTATGTAGCCTCGCCGGGGATCAAACTAATGGATGCAATAGAACGGAGGGATTTGAAACAAATCCTCATTGCCTCTGCAAAGGCAGTTTCAGAAAATGATCTATTGACAGCGAATTGGTTGATGGATGAGTTGCGTGAAATGGTCTCAGTTTCTGGGGAACCGATCCAGCGGCTGGGAGCGTACATGTTGGAAGGTCTTGTTGCACGTTTGGCCTCCTCAGGAAGCTCCATCTATAAAGCTCTGCGATGGAAAGAACCTGAAAGCTCGGAGCTCCTTTCCAACATGCACATTCTTTATGAGGTCTGTCCATACTTCAAATTTGGATACATGTCGGCAAATGGTGCAATAGCTGAAGCCATGAAGGATGAGAAAAGAGTCCACATCGTTGACTTCCAAATTGCTCAGGGTAGCCAGTGGATCACTTTAATCCAGGCATTTGCGGCGAGGCCTGGCGGGCCACCCCACATAAGAATAACTGGTTTCGATGATTCCATGTCAGCTTATGCTCGTGGAGGAGGATTGGACATTGTGGGGAAGTGGCTATCTAAGCTTGCTCGGTCATACAAAGTCCCATTTGAGTTCCACGCTGCATCGGTACCAGGTTCAGATTTACAGCTGCACCATCTCGATGTTAGGCCCGGGGAGGCTCTGGCCGTAAATTTCGCGTTTATGCTTCACCACATGCCTGATGAGAGTGTGAGCACTCAGAACCATCGGGACCGGCTCCTGAGGCTGGTCAAGAGCCTGTCGCCGAAGGTGGTGACCCTGGTGGAGCAAGAATCTAACACGAATACTGCTGCCTTTTTTCCGCGGTTCATCGAGGTGATGGACTATTATGCGGCCATGTTTGAGTCGATTGACGTGACTCTTCCCAGAGAGCACAAGGAGAGGATTAACGTCGAGCAGCACTGCTTGGCAAGAGATGTTGTCAATATAATCGCGTGTGAGGGGGCCGAGAGAGTCGAAAGGCACGAGCTTCTGGGGAAGTGGAGATCGCGTTTTGCCATGGCGGGATTTACACCATACCCTCTGAGCTCCCTAGTGAACGCCACCATCAAAACGCTGTTGAAGAATTACTCTCACAAGTATAGGCTTGAGGAGAGAGATGGAGCTCTTTATTTGGGATGGATGGATCGAGACTTGGTAGCGTCTTGCGCATGGAAGTGAAATAATCCGAGAAAGTGTAAGGCGGCATGATCGGAGCAGCCGGAACTGTTCCTCTTCTTTTCACGTTTCGTTCCTTTGTAATCATTTAGCTCGTTACGTTTGATGAGGTGTTTGAAGCTGTTCACCTTGTATAGTCCCGGATTTCATGCTCTACTCTTTCACTGACAAAGATAGGATAAACTCAATTTGCACTGGGTTCGAACTTTTCTGGTGACTACTATACTGAACTCAGGTGCAAATTTTTTCGAAGAGGGAATGCTTTTTGACAGTTCTCTGCTGCCCCACTGCAACTACTTTTTATTAAATGCGGTCACGGATTTTATGAGTTCGTCATGTAATCAAGTCGGGAAGGCGTCGAACATTGTAAGAATTCCTACCGTCTGCTTGAATTACAGGCACGACTGGATATTAGTAAAAAGATCTGGACCTTGTTTCTGCTAAAAAGAGAGGATTACAGCAACATTTCTCTCGCTGTCATATCAATTTGCTCGAAAAGTCGAGAAGATGATACTTTCTTCGATAAATGAAGTCTTCAAAAGTTTGTGAAATCATCCCATTACGCTTGCCCCATCACACCAACGATGAGTTGCCATCAAATCCAGTAGCATACTCATCAACTGTTGAATCACTCGAAGAAAATAAGGATGCCCTTGTTACATAGGTTAAAGTGCTGTCTTATTTTCCCGACACAGCTTTAATTATGCTAATGATTTGGCATGGAGACATGATTTCTTTGCAAGTGCAAGGGAGCTCCTGAGAACAAATAGATTGCTCTCACATTGGATTCTCCTTGGGATCTGTATTCAACTGATAATATTTTGACTAATATGTAATCTTCAGTGCAGAGTTAAATCTAAACATCTGTTACCAAATTTAGGCAACTTACAATGACCTATCCCACACCTGATCACTCATACATTAACATAAGAAAAATAGTACAGCCTCGGCGAACGTTTTGTGCGCGGGTTGGACGTTACAGATTGGGACACTGGTTTAGCTTTGAACAGCTGCTGCATTAGATGGCTGTTGCTGCGCGTGTGGATTCTCCCCCATCACATTCACGACGGAGTCAAGATGAACAGGATCACGTTCCCCTGATTTAGTACTCGACAGGTCTTCTTTTTGCTCATTAATTCGATCCTCAGGACCTAAATCATTATCAAATCCCGTTCTATCCCCAACTTGATCGCCAGTTCTCGATGTTTCTTCAGCCTTGCCACTGGATTGGTCGGTTGACTTACTCCCAGAAGCGGAGCATGCATTCTCCACAACACTCTGAGACAAGGTGTCGCCATCCGGAGATTTGATGTTCACATCTCCACTTTGGGTGGTTGCATGACCATTGAATCCCCCCGAATTAGGCATGATTGTCCTCAAAGGAGGGACAGAATGGTCATGCTGACCCTCGTAAGTGGTCATGACCACCTTTGCATCATAAGATGCCCTCTCCACGTGCTTTTTAGCTGGACATCCAGGGCTTGAACATCTGTAGTAACTCCTGCAATGCACGAGCAGTGGTCAGTCCACACCAAGGCTACTGCCAGACGAGAGAGAGAGTTCCATTTCTTTTCGCGTTTAAGAGAGTTTTCCGCCAATATAATGGACAAGATGCTTGTGCACAGAACAAATCTCATTGTAAGATGAGAGACAATGAGTTAAAGGAAAAATCAGTCCTGAGGGGACTTTCCGTTGTTAACTAAGACAAAAATCTCTGTGGAAGAGAATGAAATGCAAGTAACATTTCAAGGCCTTAAGATGCAACTATGAAACTAGCTTACTTATTTTAAGTACCTCAAAATTTTTCTAGTATCTTGCCTCATCCTCATTAAGCACCTTGCATTACATCAAAGGCAAAGTTTGGTCTTTTGGGGGGGTGATGGTGGAAAAGTTGACAGATAGTCGCCCTTATTGCCACACCTAGGAAATGAGATGCTAATCTACATAAGCTACCGAGGAGGCCAGCTCATTGCCACAGTCTGAGGCCAGCCTACCTTGCTTTAGTTATTTCATACTCCATAGATTGACAGCAATAATGCAGTTTTATTGATTGGAAACAACTGTTATGCATGCCACAGGGATGAAGATTAATCAAACGGAAGTACAGTACAATTACAAAGCACTAACAGTGCCTACCTCGGATTAGGGTTGCCTTTCACCATTTTCTGGCCATATTTGCGCCAACGATACCCATCATTGACGATATCAACCTCACTCACAGTGTGAACAATGGTGCGCGCTTCAGTGGTAGGCTTATCCCCTGAAGCGGTGTCTGTGTTGCAACTGTCCTTTTTCCTGTTCAATGGTTCTGATAGTCAAAGAAAAGGCAACTTACACGTCCAAGCAAGCAGTGGTGAAACTTGGGTTTTTTTTTATTTAGGGGGGGTTGTTGTGGAGTATCGAGGCAAAATATTTAAGAAAAAATTCCAAAACCAAAGTCGAAGGAAAAAAAAAAAGCTATAAATTTCCGCTCAACCAATACTAGCAAGAAACTGCCTACCTTCTTTTTGAACCAGGAGAATCCTCATCAGTAGCTATTTCATCCTGTACCTTGACTTTTGCTGGTACCACAGGTTTCACTTCAGCAGGAGCTGGAACCAGTGAAAGCTGAGGAGTTTCTTTGTCGTCAACTTTATGGTGTGCCTGGCTCTTCACTTCTGATGATTTGTCTACAAAATTAAGAGCCAATTGATTTCACCACATTTTTTGAAGGGAAAAGAGAAAGCAAATTGATACTCCCCAGACCTTGTGTGCTTATTGGAGAAGGCATCTCGGGTTTCTCCTCAACTATAGACACAGCAATGCTGACAGCCATTGGTAGGTGCTTCTGTGGGCTAGGATGACTATGCTGGCCTAAGTAGATGTTATCGGTAATCCGGCCACTACGCGAGCGCTCCACTTGTTTCTTCACAGGGCAGTATGGATGCGTACATCTGTAATAGCTACGCACAAATTCATTTCCTTTAACATTTTTCTGGCCATATTTTCGCCAATTATATCCATCCTCTGAACTCTTTTCATAACTGATAGAGGGAGTGCTGCCTTCTTGAGCAGATTGTGATCCCTGGTTAACACTTTCAAGGGTCAGCTCTGATACTAAAGGTTCCTTTGACTGTACCCCTTGAAGCCCCATACCACATCCGGGGGATTCTTTCGAATTTGATTCCCGATCAGGCTGTGGTGTATTACCTCCATTTTGAGGGCTGTTTTCAGGCTTCACCCCTTCAGAACCAGTTTCATTTGGTGCACTTTCTTCATTAGCCATATGATCGCTTTAGATTAGGATTGTTAAAGACTTCACTTCGTCAAAAGGCACACTACATCTGAGCATAGAATGCATGACTCAGTATGACAAAGATTTGTAGACACTTTGCATAAAACCAAGTTTTGCTTGGACTTTTAGCATAAAGAGGTTGAGGAGAGTGTGATAAAAGATATCCAGGATCAATAAAAGAATCATTAGAAAAAGAAAATAACTTCATGAAGCTAGCTCTAGAACAACTCCGAAAGTATAACTTTCTTTGAATAGTTCACAACAAGTCCAAGGAAAATGAACTCATACAAAGAAAGATTAACAGGGGCAAAGACTTGTTTCTAGCGTGTCCAGAAAACATGCAAACATTATCTTCCACGACACCAAAACTCAAAGGCATAAAACCAATAGTTACTGTAACTACAACAAGAACATTCAACTCCTACGAAAGCTTCCCAGTCCCTTTCCTTCCCCATTGGCCCTAGAGCAACCAGAACTATCAACTTATTGATATTCATCTTTCAGAATGTATGACTACTTACAAGATGTCCTGCTTAAGAATCTAAGGAGCTTATAGGAAGCTATTCCATCCAACTTCAAGGTGTCACAGCTCTAAACAGGATGCTTGGGTCAGCTTCCTTGACTAGTTACAGCTTTTCAAAGGCCTGTTTTAGCTCTTTTCAGGTACTCAACAAACACTTGAAAGCTGCAGCATCACTGCTCTAGCCAACTTCAGGTGCGGCTCCAAGGTGCTACACGTTCAAAACATGTATTGCCAAGCACATCTCTACCACACATCATAAGGCAGCTACGACAAATCTACAAAGTCTGCAACTATCACACCCAACGAGCATGTTGCAAGCTAAAAAAGAGAGAATTGACCGTCTTCAATTAACAATCCAATAACCAAAAGAGAACCCAAAAATTTGATGGTAAAGTAGCACAATCTTCGCCCTTAGAGGCAACCCAAGATTGGCTCTTTTGTTTAATTCCATAATCTATGAAGAATGAGAACTTTCCCCAAAAGTCTACTACTTCGGAGAGTAAACAGAGAAAGACAGTAAAAGAAACTAAAGCCTACCTATTTCACCAATTCTTCTAGGCAAGCAGCAGAATTCGATTCGCGTGGACTTTATTACTAGGATTTTCCGTTCCTTTTGTTCAGTTTTCTTCTTATCTTTAGCCTTCTTCTTTTGCTGTGGGGGCTTCACACAACATGAAAAAGGGTTCTAACTTCAGATTAACATGTCCTGAAGCGCCCGTGAACTCAAGTGAACTTGACAACTGATGGAAAAGTGGCTCAAAATCACAAGAAACCACAAGACCCCCGGGACCAAATTCCCTTCATTCCAAGAATCATGGGAAAGAAATGGTAAGCACTAACCAAAATTAACTCCTGGGTGTTCAAATAAACACTGAATTATTCAAAATTCCAACCAATCGAAGCCCGAATAGCTCGAATTCACAGGCTCCAGAGCATAATTAAGGAGCAAACCACAGCTGAAATCGTCAGCACCGAGAGGGGAAACAAGAGAAAGGATCACCCTACCTTCATTTCCAGCTCAATCAGGAAACCCCAATTCGAGTCCCCACCCACGAATCATCAGCCGTCGATTGCGACGAAGACGGTGGTGGCTTCGCTCAATTCGCAGGAAAGAGAGAGTTCGTAAAGCTCTGAGATTTCGAAGCCCAGTCCAACTTCGGAGAAGAAAGGGAGAAGCAGAAGCAGGAGAGGAGCCGGGACCGGGTGCGGTCGGGCGCACCGGAGCATCTTTGCTCCCCCCTCGACAGAGGGTTCTCATTGGATGCCTCCCCCGTGGGGGCCCAGCGAGGGGACCAATCGTCGGACCCTGTCGGAGACCCGTTTTGGGGATTTCCCCGGACTCCGATGAGAGCCCCCCGTGGGGCTGAACAAGTGGACGCTGTTTGACTTTGGCGCCCGCGCGAATTGACGGATTTACCCCTCGCGGGCTCATATTGGTGTGCGCATTTTTTTATTTTCCCCAAGTATCATATAGTCCTTAGGCACATGAAAAGGAAAGGGCATATGTTCCCCCAAGGGAAAATAAAACATAGTCTGTAATTCTTGGAGAATATTTCCTTCCATCTCTCTCAATTCTTATTCCATGTTTGATCCGATGCTGCCCTCTAGCACGGTTTTTTTTTTTATTACCTTTCGTTTTTTTAACTCTAGCCTGCGTAAGTTTAGATATATGTATTCGTTGTGGCGTCGAATTTTCGAGGGTAAGAAAAGGAAGAAGAAGAGATGGTGAATTATTACTCAATCATTGCTCCTCGAATGGCGAAGCGTGTTTTGAAGGGGGAGAAAGTTGACACTATGGTGACACCCCTTTTAGTATCTTGTTAGGGTGAAAGAGTATTTCGGTACGATCTGGCTCCGAACGAATGGAGCAGTGTTTCTCTTGATTTAGCATTTTGCCAGATATGATTGTTGATTTCTTTAAAGTAGCTATATGAACCGAATAGATCCAGATGGGGTAACCTCTAAATGGGGAAAATTGTCCAAAAAGTCTCGAACATATTGCACTTTTGCCAATTCAGTTGTAAACATTTTAATTGTGTTAATTGAGTCCAAAATATTTTGACATTTTGCCAATTGAATCCATCCGGTCAATTTTGATCGGAAATTGCTGATGTGGATGCCGGTTGTCCTACGTGAATAATTTTTTAATAATATCTTAATATTTTTTGAATTTATTTATTCATTTATTTTCTTTTCTTTCTCTTTGTTTTTTTTTCCTTCCCTTCTTCCTCTAACCTCGTCGGCCTCTGGCGAAGCTCGCCACCCGGCGACTAGCCAGAGGTTGCCAGAGCAAGGGCGAAGATTGACCACACTAGTAGTTGGCGGGGGCAAGCTTTGTCAGAGGCCGACGAGGTGCTAGCAAAGCTCACCCAGCGACGGCGAGGTTGACCTCACCAGCCCCTGGCAAGAATTGACCATAGTAGTGGTCGGCGGGGGCGAGGATTGAACACACTAGTAGTCGGGTGGCTACCGGCTAGAGGAAGAAAGGAAGGGAAAGAAAAGAAAAAAAGGAAAAATAGGATAAAAATTAAAAAAATTATTAAAAATTATTTACGTCGATGTCGACGGTACCACGTAAAACGGTTAGTGTCCACATTAGCAATTTCCAGCCAAAATTGGTCGGATGGATTCAATTGGCAAAAAGTGAAAAGATTTAGGATTCAATTGACCCAATTAGAAGGTTTGGGACTGATTTGATAATAGATTTATGACTTTTTGGACAATTCTCTCATGCTAGATGAAAAACATAAATTGCTTTGAATGGGGAGATCAATTATCTGCCCTTGAATAAGTGACATTAAACCTCTCATACCTAGTAATTTCCGGCCAAAATTTGCTAGATTGACCTCAATTGTTAAAACATGAACATATTTAAAATTCAATCAACACAATTAGAAGGTTTGAGACTGATTTGGCAAAAGTGCAATAGATTTAAGACTTTTTGGACAATTCTCCCGTGCTAGATGAAAAGCGTAAATTGCTTTAAATGGGAAGATAAATTATCTAGCCTTAAAGAAGTGACGTTAAACGTCTCATACCTAGCGATTTCCAGCCAATTTTGGCCGGTTAAACTCAATTGGTAAAAAGTGAAAAGATTTAGGATTCAATTGATACAATTAGAAGGTTTGAGACCGATTTAGCAATAGTGCAATAGATTCAGGAATTATGTGGCCTTGAAGAAGTGACATTAAACATCTCATACCTTGTGATTGGTGTGCTTGAGATGCATTTCCTATGCTCCCAAAAAAGACATTATATGGATCGGATTGAAGGGCGTCATCGTTCTAATGATCAAATTATATCTGGTCTTGTTTTCGATGAGTAACTTTCAATGCGAATCTTCATTGGCATACATTCACAAGTTTTCTCCGGCTGCATATGAGACCTGAAATGTTGCATTCTTATCCTCTAGCTCTCTGCTAGGATTAGTTGCCAAATCACGGTGTTGTCACACGGATGATAAGGGCGTGAATGATAACTATTTTCTTTTTTAGAACAATTTTTGGCCAAATATAAAAAATATATATTTATATTCCTTTGATGAGTTACTGAGTAAAAATTAGCGTTTGATAACGACACAAAATTTATGTTCTTAAAACATAAATTCGTTTGATAGCGTCGATGTAGAATTCATTCATCAGCGGATGGCGAGGATGAGCTCTTAGAAGAATTGTTATTTTTGTTTTCGTTGCAAAAATAGAAAGTACAAAATTTTTACTTCTCATTTCTGTTCTAAACCTATTTCTGAGCTAAAAATTTTATCCCGAAAATAGAAAAATGAAATTGTATTACAAACAATTTCTATTCCAAAACTTGTTCGAGAGGAAAAAATAGAAAAACAGATAAACGAAATAGTTTTTTCTATTTCTATTTCTTGGAATAGTTTCGAGCAAAAATAGTGTTCGAATAGCGTACAAAATTTCTATTCCTGGAATAGAAAAAGAATAGAAACGCGTTTAGGGCGCGAATGATCCATTTCTATTCCATGGACGAAAATTTATTTCTGGAGAACTTTTTTGTTCCAGAAACGAAAAAATAGATTTTTTTACTAAACGGATTTACGATTCTTTTTCTCGTTCTAAAAACAAAGAATGGAAAAACAAAAAACGAAACGTTACTAAACAGACCCTAAAATGCCTAAAATCTTACTTCTCACTCAATAAAAACCATCTTTGCCATGTAATTCTCGGGGATCACTCAACCATATGGCCTGGGGTCAACTCACATGCACAAACATGTCTTCTCTCAGCCATTTTTCTCCATCGCCAGAGCTTCTCCATCTCCTACACTTGATCATCACTCCACTGCAGTATAATTCACGTGCACACACAACCTGCCATCACGTGTGCACAGCACTTCTAGGATCCAACTTGCTTCCGGTGCTCGCCCGACGACAGATTCGATCCGCCTTCGCTCACTTTCGCGTCGACAAAGACACTTCACCTCCAGCTCATACCCCACATAAGGATCCTTGCTTTTTTCTGCAATAAAGGGTCTGCGCGGTTCTGCACTGGCTCTCTCGATGTCGTGTGACTTTCGGTTAGAAACAATTAAATGGTTGCCCAGCTCTTACACCATATCATCAACCTTCTTTTTGGACACTTTAAGGATTGCTAACGTACTCCATGCATGTATCCCGTCTCAGTCCAAACCGTGACGAACGAATTCAATTGCGCCGCGCTTGTGGTATAGCCGAGCAAAAGGCGAATTAATGGCAACATGGTCGGCCGATACCGCATAATCCTATTGTAAGTAGCGAAAACGGGGAAAGGACATGCACAGTTAAAATTCAATGTTGTCTAGAAACAACACGGGTGTCTCATGGGTTGATGACCACTTTTTTTTCTTGACCCTGGATGAGGTTCTGCAGATGGACAGATGATTTGCATCTCCAGGAGTCCTCAATCTCTCCCTTGGCGATGGAGAAAGCAAAGATTTAATGCTTCTCACAAGCTTCACATGGTCTTGGTGTGGTGCTTGCTTGCTTGCCGGTTGCTTCTTCAAAAGCCACCTTCTGGTCCGCCTAGGCAATTAAGGGTGCGTTTGGCAATCATTCTGTTTCCGGAAGCTGATTCTGCTCAGAAATGATTCTTTTTATTCCGTGCCCGGGAACAATTTCTAAGCATTTGAAGGCATTTGGTAACTGCCCAAAATTTCTATTCTTAGAATAGAAAAAGAACAGAAATGCGTTTGGTAATTGCACAAAATTTCTTTTTATTAATAATATTTTGAATATTTTAATATTTCTTTTTTTTTTCTTTTTTTTCTTCTCCTTCCTCTTCCTTGGCCATGGCCAGGTCGCCGCCTGGGCGAGGGCTGGACCCTCGCCACCGCCCTCGCTAGATCCGGCGAGGGCGGCTAGCGGCCTAGGCGAGGGCCACCCTTGGCGGCCCAGGCGAGGTCGCCCTCGCCCGGGCGGCTAAAGCGCCCTCGGCCCGGATGCGGCGAGGCGAGGTCGGCCCTTGCCCTCGCTAGTCGCCGGCGGCCGGCGGCCGGCCACAGGTCAAGAAGAAGAAGAAAAATTATTTTCCATTTCTAATTCTTGTTCCCAGAATCAAGAAACTATTTTTTTTTGCTTCTTGATTTTGTTCCAAAACTGATTCTAGGAATAAATTTGTGCCCAGGAATAAAAAATTTACCAAACGGATTTTTGTTTCAAAACTATTTCTGGAAATAAAAGAACAGAAATAGTTACTATCTGGCAACTTGCCACTTGCGCCCTAAGCTTACCTTGGGCAAAAATTGGGGTCAAACTTGCGACACAAGTGATTAATTGCTTTTTAGAAAATCTAAGCCAGATGGAGGGAGCCCGTTCTCAAGCGACGCAGAACAATATTTCAATACCTTCTCTCTTGTGCAAGCAGGAGTAAGAGCGGCACGTGGAATTTAACTGATCGAGATGGACGCATATACACTAAGAAGGGATAGCATCGACTCTGATACCATGTAAAAAAGTCCAATCCAAAATTCAAACTTATAAGTGATTTTACCTTCTTGGCATCATCTACAGCCTTCTAGTTTCGGAGAGACTATCATAATGATCGGTTCTATGCAGGTCAGAGGCGGCTTTTGAAGTCTTGATCAGATTCCTCTCCCCGTTTTTCTTGGGGTACCTTTTAGCTTGTCTACTTTGTAAGCGAAACTATTGCGGATGTATATCCAATCCATATACGATTATATACATTAACCGTCCTCCTATTTCTCCTCCTCCTCCTCATCTCTAAGAAGCGAGATAAGCCCAAACTAACAATTTTCGGCATGGGTTTTCATTTTCGATAAGCAAGTAAATAAAGAATTTAAGCAATAGTCGACCCTAGAAGATTCATATACTTAACAAATTTTCAATCAAATTACCCTTTTTCCTCAAGCAAAATACCGTTACCCAAAATCGCATTATCTTTTTTTTGCTAGAAAAGTCAACAAAACAAAACTTCCCCCGATAAAAAGGAAAACGACACAAACAGTCCATGAACTCTGGCTCAATGTGTAATTTGATCCCTGAACTTTTAATTTGTTCAATCTAATCCCTTAACTTTAGTCTAATATTCAATGTGGTCTATTGACTTTTGGTACATGTTCGATTTAGTCTCTAAACTATATGAACAATTTAGTCCCTGATTATATTGAACATTTTCAATATAATCAGGGACTAAATTGAACATATACCAAAAGTCCATGGACCACATTGAATATTAGGCTAAAGTTTAGGAAATACATTGAATATTAAGCTAAATTTCATGGACTAGATTGAACAAATTAAAAATTCAGGGACCAAATTGCACATTAGGCCAAAGTTCAGGGCTGCTTGTGTCATTATCTCCCAAGAAAAAGGAGAAGGGGCTGGCTGCGTAAAACGACGCCGTGTCGTGCCGGACGAGCTTTCCAACAAACGCACCTATAAATACCGCATCGCCATCCCCATCGCCATCCCCATCCCCATCTCCACTGCAAGTCCGTGCTGTTCTCTCTCTCTCTGCGAAATCCTCCATTTCGAAGGTACGCCCAGTTTCGCTCCACGTCTCATGTTCTGGTGCCCGTGTGTGTTCCTTCCTTCGTGTCCTGTCCGAATCGCATTTCGCAGCGATCCGTCCGCTCGTTCGACCACGCGCTTCTCGTGTAGTAGTGTGCTGCGTAGTTCGGTTCAGCTCATTCCTTGCTTGCGACGCGGTGGCGTGCTTCCCGCCCAGGGGTTCGATCGTGATGTGAGCTTGTCCCGCGTCGCTCTCGGGTCGATCCCTGGGCTCGGAAGTCATCGCAGGCGCGCGCGCCTTGCGTGCGTAGGAACGGCGCTTCAGTTCGGCGAGTTCGTGCTTCCGATTCGAATTTGTGTTGGGTGGATGGTTAGCTGCTTCGGGCGCGCGGGGGATTGGCGGGGGTAATTAGGATGTGAGCTTTTTTATGTTTCGTGCTTGCTCCGGCCGATCGCAGCGCGATCATCCTCGCCAGCTCCAACGTTTCTGATGAAGAAATGATTCGAGTCTTTCCGTTTTGCGTGATATATGGTGTTTGGGCATCTTGAATTTAGTTTATCGCGGTGTGCAGCCGGTGAAATCCTGCAACTTTTTGACGGTTTCGTTCGATTTTCATTTGTTTCTAATTTTGGGTTGTTCGAGAAAATCCATTATGATTGAAGTAGATAGCGGGCCGGTTACCGCTGGATTCTCGTGAGTTGTTGGAGTGGGTTAGTTCTAGGGAAATTTTGCATGGATTAACTCTAACTAGTATAATAAACATAATATATGATGGAAATTCTCTGTTCACTGCTCAGCGTGTCTGAAGTTCGATTGGTCCTATTAATCGCATTTGTTGAGTACATTTCAGTAGAAATCCAGTTTTATCAACCATTGTCCTTTGTATGATTTGCCTCATTGTAAGCATACACGGTAAACTTGACCACGACATGATCAAACTGTGGATAATATAGCTCGGGAGAAACTTTTCCTTGCTATGCTAACTATGCTTTCTACTGTTATCAGGCCATTTGAGGTTGTATCATCATTGAATATGCCGGCAGCAAGTGCTGACACGTCTGATCGAGATGCAGAACCTTTCGTGGAGGTTGATCCAACAGGGCGATTTGGGAGGTACGGCGATCTCCTTGGACATGGTGCGGTGAAAAAGGTCTACAGAGCATTTGATCAGGAAGAAGGAATAGAGGTGGCTTGGAATCAGGTCCGTTTGGCTAATTTCAGCGACGATCCGGTGCTGATCAATCGTCTTTACTCGGAGGTTCAGTTGCTGAGCACATTGAAGAATAAATACATTATTGTCTGCCACAGTGTGTGGAGGAATGATGAAAACAATACTCTGAACTTCATTACGGAAGTATGCAATTCAGGGAACTTGAGGAATTACAGGAGGAAACACCGTCAGGTGTCTATCAAGGCACTGAAAAAATGGTCAAAGCAAATACTCGAGGGACTGGATTATCTGCATACACATGACCCCTGCATCATTCACAGAGATTTGAATTGCAGCAATATCTTTATGAATGGGAACATTGGCCAGGTATGGCAATTGCCCTCCGTTGGTATCTATATTTCTTTATAGACCACCCTACTCTCCAAAACAAATGTAATTTCATCCAGAGACTTTGGAATTTGACACCGAGAATTGCCAAGTCCATACTCATCGGTGGGCTTAAAAGTTAATTTGAATTGATGCAATTAAGTCCATGCTTAGCATTTGCATTATGTTGACTTTAGTGATTTTTTATGTTGATTACCATTATATTTATATCTCTTGTCAATAGTTAAAATGTGCTTGTTATGCGTCTATTTTAGATTTCACCCCCCCATTCCCTACACTCCTAGCTACCACTACGTGAAACTTTCTGTCACAATTTGGTCTAAATATTTGTGTTATTAAGAGCAATTAAAGTATGTGTAACTTTCTGCTTACATAGGGTCTGATTATCCTTGCTAGTTTTACTTTAGACTCTAAGTGCGCAGCTGCAGAACATAAACCTATCGCCTAGCCAATAATAATAATAAAAAAAAAAAACATAAATCTATCGGACATCGTGTTTTGGAATGGATTGTGTGAATATATCTATCACTAATTAGTATATATAATGCAAGAGGAGGCATGGTCTCACTAGTACCGATTGTATATCTGTTTTTTTCTCTCTTTTTTGGCTTTTATTGGCTCTTTCCTGTGTGTTCACGCCAAACTATTCTGTCACCTACTGCGAATAATTCTGGATTAACCACATGGAATCTGAGAATATTAAAACTAATGTTTTGCAAAATGTGAAAGTTCATATGATTCCGGTCAGTTGACTCTTGTATATCGGGCTTTCCACAACTCTGTAAACTCAAACATTCTGTATGAACAGGTAAAAATTGGTGATCTGGGGTTGGCAGCTGTTGTGGGTAAGAGCCATACAGCACATTCTTTGATTGGGACTCCAGAGTATATGGCACCCGAGCTGTATGAGGAGGACTACACAGAGACGGTGGATATTTACTCCTTTGGAATGTGTTTGCTGGAGATGGTGACCATGGAGATACCCTACAGTGAATGTGACAGTATTGCCAAAATATACAAGAAGGTGACGGGTGGCATATGGCCTCGAGCTATGAATGAAGTGACAAACCCAGAAGCGAAGGCTTTTATCGAGAAGTGCATAGCTCAACCAAGGGCACGACCATCGGCCTCCGACCTTCTCAAGGACCCCTTCTTTTCTGATGTCTCTGGCGATGAAACTGACCTAACTGGTTGATGGTTCCGTGAGCGTATAATTTGGCCGAGTTATTAACTAATTCTTCCTGCCTAAGTAACCTGTCATTGACTATGGTCAATCCCTGTTCATACCTCTTGAATTTTTTCTCAGTCATGCTCTTCAAGTACATAAGTAGTGGATAGAAGAAGTAGGAGAGGTGTAACGAATAAAAAGGAAGAAAAGGAGAAAGAATTGCAGATCTGTCAATCCTTGAATTTCTCCGGATCTACTAGTGCGTTCTATCTTGTTATCCCTTCTAGCTGATTCATAATGCCTACTTCGTTAGAATTAGTACGGTGCACTGATATGGTGTTGCTATGTCGTGCGGATTCTGAAGAACATCAAATATCAAGGGAATTTTTGGTTTATTCCGAGGAAATTTAAAGAAGTGCGTTGTATGGAAAACCATTAGAATCGAGGAACTCTTCCTTTGAATCTGCAGTTTCTGCACGTATTCAGACGATGCTCGCATGATGTTTATGCATTTGGACAGCGAAAATACGAGCATTTCTTTTCACACTTATGGCAGATGCATGAAGTCTTTGAAGCACAGATGTCTACTTTTCTCTTCAGTATCCAATTGACTAAAGTTGCATATTCATGTCAAAGTTCTTCACTTCTACTCATCAGGGAGTTCTATTGTTGATCAACCTGTGGACATGACTCCTCTGGTGTTTGGTTGGATTTCAAGACATGAGACTGTGCAAAAACATAATAAGCGGCAAACTTCTCCTTCTAACTTTATACTTCTGACGGGTAATTATAATTGTTACTTGGTATCAGAAGATCATTTTTACAAATTATAGAGTGATGGCTAAAATCAAAATTGGAAAAACTTACGTTAGCGTAAATCACCCTAAGCATGAAAATGATTGCATAGATGTAGACTAACAAACTGTGGAAAGATTTGATTACAATCATCGTTGGCTAGGATGGACAAACATAAAACAATATCGAAGGCTCTATGCGTGCTCAAAGTAATAAGGCTGCTAGTGACTTGTTTAGAGCGAACATTTTTTTTCAAGTTGGCGGGCTCGGGCAAGTGGACCCTTTGTGTCGGGCCTACCCGGCCCGGCCCGGTGTCAATCGGACTGCACGAGTTTTGGATAAGACTCTTTACATTGGATGCAAATCAAGGACAAACAATCACCACGACGGGCTCAATTCAAGCTTGTCCAAGCTTGCCCAGTGTAGAGTATGCCTAGAGGCGGCTCTACACAAGTCTCGTGTGATCTATCTAATTTGTTCGATACCAGTTCGGCCATCGAAGGCAATCGATGAACGAACTCGGTTCCGTCCCAAAGCAGGCTCATCTGCCTGTGACGACTTCCTCAAAAAGGGTTCCTTTTGCAGAACCGGCTTCGTCGGCTCCCGGGTCAATTGCTCCAACGGGCTTCGACAAGTTGCCATAGCATATCTCCGATTTTCTTTCCTCCCAAAACCTTGTTGAGTCTGTTCAGACCGAAGCATCGTAGAGTCCAAGGTTCTTCTATACCAATTCCCTCTTATGGAGATTGAAGCATTAATCCCCCCCACCCTCAATTATAATAATGCACAGAATTCCTCTGCAGCTTTAGAGGAATGTGTTGCTTGAGTTGTAAGCATCTAAGTTGGACTTTTTCCATGCCCGAAAATCTTCTTGGCCCCACCAAACCTAAGCAACTGTTATATCAAAATGCAAATTAAAGAAAACCTTCTTGTCCCTCCCCCACTCGCTTTCGAATGCCCTTTTTTTTAAAACCCTAGTAGATGCATCACCAGCCGATCCTCCGTTGGATGATGATGCATCGAGCTGAGATTGAAGTTCCGAAGGTAGTTGGTTTGTCCAGATGAAGACTTTTCCTCTTCTTTCTTTCCTTTCTTTTCTTCCCTCCTTTTTGTCTGGGGCAAAGACTTTGAGAGGGTATTTTCTTTTTGCAAGTCGGAGAACATATTCTATGTTGTTTTATAAAGACAACCAACGACGTATGTTCCGATCGTGCGCCATCAATGTCTATCTCCGAGCATTGCTGGTTTGAACACGTCTTGGAAAATCGGTTAACAGTGACTTTCAACAATTCCCCATATGTCGCTTTAAGGTGCACTGTGCCATTATTAATATCACTGCACTGGCCAGGTAGAACTTCAGTAGTTTATGTTGGAAAAAGACTATAAGCGAGTTGAGCCTTGCAAGAAAGCAAAAGCTTGGCCGAAAATATTGTGTGAACGGAAGAAAAATGTAAACCACAAGAGCGATCGCAGTCATCATCGATCGAAATTCTCTTGTACGTCTAGATAAAGTTTGAATTTTTGGAGCCGATTTGCGGTTTCTCTCGAAGTCCCGAGCAAATTTACTCCCGAGTACCCGAGATTGCTTGCTTTGCTTGTGTTCTGATTAGTAAATTTACCACTTGTTTAAAAAAAAGATTAAAAGGGAAAGAAGAAGAAATTATTGGGATTGAGATATGTTGGGCAAGAAGCAAGCAAAGGCCACTCCCTCCAATTCCAAAGCTTCCTTATTTTCAGAAGCCGTGCCGTCTTGGGTGCGCCCGGTTTCCTCCCTCTTCTTTGCTTTGGAAAGCTTCACCCTTACTTCTTCTTGTACGCCTCTCTCATACTTTATTGTAATTTATTTTACCTTCCGTAATGTAGGTCATATTATTCAAATATTATTTCCAATAACCTTGTTCCCACTTTTCCCTCTCTCCAAATACCAACGCATTTGATTCTACAATGACAATCTTCCAGGCTCTCACTCTGGAAACTAATGCACATCAAGATTGGAATCTCTTCACGTCGAGTTTAATAGGTACGAGTTAGGGTAGCGATTCATAGCTAGGTGTCGTGGATTGGGGAAAATTGGCGCCATCAGGGCCGGTCAGGTCAATACCAATTGGAAAAACCTTAGTTGAGACATGAATTGAGGAAGTTCTTGCGTTGACAAGTTGGTCTAAGCTAAAAGTAACTTTCTCTACAAAGCAAGTAGATCGGTTATATATAGAAAAAGCAAAAGAAAGTAGCTGGATTTGCTTTGGTTCATATAGGTCGAGGCTTCATTCCCAGAAATCAAGATTTCTTGTTAGGAATTGGGACTTTGGTACACTTCTGCACGTGGGTTGGCTCATGAAAATCCGAGTTCAAGCAAAGGAATGACCCCCCAATTACTTCGACTTCTCTGGATTCAAGAACGGCTTTGAAGCCTTAAAACTTGGATTTTGGAGTTAGCTCGTGTGCATTCTCATTTGACTTTTGACTCGGACAAGAAAAGAGTTTTAGCTGCACGAGTGTGTGAAACAGACTGATCTTTTTAAACTAAAGAAAGAGAACCATCTCTCTCTCTCTCTCTCTCTCTCTCTCTCTCTCTCTCTCTCTCTCTCTCTCTCTCTCTCTCTCTCTCTCTCTATTCCATTCCCTGGTTTTCTGAATTCTAGAAGGTCGGATGGTACTACACTTCGATTCCTGAGATGGACTTCGTTCATTTTCTAGCATTTGTGGACGTCGATAAGAGGAAGTGATATTCACTAACAAGCAACCTTGAAGTTCTTGAAGCGAAAACATACTGTATCGTTGCTCTGGAAGAACTTTCATCAGTTATGCAAAATGGAAGCTGCCAGTCCAAAAGACAATTCAGTGGCGTCGAGTCCGTTCTCTTCACCGAACATCAGCGCCCTCCTCAAGATCAAGATTCTTTCATGGTCAGCTGGTTTGTTTTGTTTTGTGAGTCTCATAATTTGCATAATATGGGTTGTAACTGGAAGACAGGATCTTCGGAAACCAGATAATTTTACCTCCTTACTCATTTTTTAGGAGCCAAGAAACTGGATTGCCTGCTTCCATTCGTGTTCGGCTTGGTGATAGGATCTTCTGCCTGCACAAGGTAAGACGAAATTTGATATCATCCAATTGCGTGAACTAAAATGGTTGTTTTGTTGACTTGCAAGATTGGACTTGTGTCAAACTAGCTTCTCCTGAATAGCTATCCGGTCCTGGCGTAGAATTCAGTATTTCAATTTGCAAATACGGATGAATGTTTCATGAGCTTATTATAAGCAGAAAAAAGAAGTAAGATCAAGAATTTTCTTAGTTGGAGTCATCGCGTAACTGATTCTTGGTTTTTTGCTCCTTTTTGTGCTTGCAGCTCCCTTTGTCTTCCAAGAGCAGATATTTCAATAGAAAGTTGAATGATTCAACCGAGGTTGAGCTACCGCAAGATTTTCCAGGAGGACTGGAGATTTTTGAGAAGATCACCCTGTTTGTCTACGGTTCTTCCACTTTGGTCGACCCTTTTAATGTAGCGGCCCTGCGATGTGCGGCTGAGTTTCTCGAGATGACGGAAGAGTACTGCTCCGGCAATCTGTGTGAGAGGTTCGATTTGTATCTCAACCAAGTGGTTCTGCAAAATTGGGACGACACTTTAATTGTACTACAGAAGTGCCAAACTTTGCTTCCATGTGCCGAAGATCTCTTAATTGTGAGCCGTTGCATCGAATCTCTTGCTTTCATGGCTTGCATGGAGATTCTTGATCCAGAGAGGAGACGCGACCGACCAGTGTTGACATTAGAGCCATTAGCTAGCTCTGCTTGGAACTGCAAAAGCGTGAAGGAATTCGTGAGCCAAGATCTCTGGGTCAAGGACCTGATTGCTCTGCCATTTGGGTTCTTCAAAAGGATTATAGCATCTCTGAGAAGGCAAGGGATGAAAGAAAAATACGTTAGCCCAATGATTGTTTTCTACGCAAATAAATGGGTAATCTCAGCGAAGGCACTCCAATTTCGTCAGAACTCTGGTGAAATCGACTGTGATACAAATGTTGAGGATAAAGTCTCAACCATCTTACATGGCATTCTTGATTTACTTCCCACGGGGGAGAAGTCTAGCAGAATCATCCCCGTCGGGTTCTACTTTGCTATGCTATCCAAGTCTCTAGAGCTTGATTCGAGGAGCGAAATCAAATCAAAGTTGCAGGATCAGATCGCATCGCTGTTGCCACTTGCCCATGTGGGCGATTTTATCCTTCCAAAAAGCAGGGCTGAATCTGTCTGTTTCAGCATTGAGTTGGCTACGATGGAGAGCATAATTTCAACATACGTATCATTTGATTTGGATATGAATCATACTCCTTCTATGAGCAACTCAGTTGTTGCTGAACTGTGGGATGCGTATCTCGCTAATATAGCACTTGACCCGAAACTGGGGCCGCAGCGGTTCATGGAACTGATTGAAGCAATACCGCTTTCATACAGGCAGAGCCACGACAATTTGTACAGAGCATTGAACACTTTCCTCCAGGTAAAATGATGGATATTTTAAACGCATTTACAGTCAATATAATTTAGGTCAAACACATACAAAAATGGAAAAACATCAGCATCACACTGCTGTTGTCCTGAAGCTAATATTTGTGAGTACTTCAAGTTTGTTAGTTTCACTGCAATTCATTAGGTTAGTGCACAAGCAAAATGTACCGAGTTGTTCTATACATTGACAAATAGGTGAAACTTGAATTCAGGTGAAGCACTATTGATTCCTCAATTCTTGCAAATTCTTTGCCCAAAAGTTCTAGCTTGTAGCCTGGCAGAAACGAACATGAAATTTAAAGTTAAATCAACTTCTTATATCTAGATGACTAAACTCTTAACTGACAAAGTGATGGAGAAAAGCATTTCTCTTGTTCAGGCACACCCAGATGCATCCCAAGATGAAAAGACCAGAGTCTGCAAGTACCTTAGCTGCCAAAAGCTATCGCAAGAGGTGTGCATCAACGCTGTTCAGAACGAATTGATGCCTCTCCGTTTAATTGTCCAGGCACTTTTCATTCAACAACTGAACACGCATCAAGCTTTTAAAGAATGCTCCGATTCGTTTAGGTATGCACATTGTGGGGAGTTCTCGGGAAGCCTCTCGAGCTCTAAGTGTCCGTACTCCAAGAGTCAGAATCTAGGGGAGAGCCCCTTCGCTGAAGAAGCTGAGCCAGGAAGAAGGCCCTTGAGCGCTCTGCTCCAGAAGGATCACACGATTCAAGGATCTGATATGCCAGAGAAGGAATATGAGTCCACAAGCTTCAGGATTCAGACACTCGAACAAGAGCTCATGTCTTTAAAGAGGAGCCTGCAATGGCAAAACATTTCGAAGAGAACAGAGCTTGCTTCAAACAAAGTAAAGAATGTCAAACCATTTGGACTGGAGAATAGATCAATGAGCAGGAGAAAGAACCCTCTCGGACAAAAGACGGGTTGCATTGGCTCTGCAACTTTTGCAACCCAAAGGAAGTACGCCAGCCGTCTAATGAAAATATTCCGGCGGATAACATTATTCGGAGGTAGGAAAATGAGGAAAAAGTCAGGTGCAACAGGTCCACGTACTAGGCCAATCTAGCAAAGACTCTTGAGCGATAGTGGGGAAATAAGACAAAGGTTATGAACTATGTAAAAATGCTCAACACCTGCTTCTGTAGCTTTTTTTACGTATGTGAAGTGCTATGTCGTTTAAACAATATACCACAGTTGAGGTTCATCAGTCTTCTCCTATGATGACAGTGTTACTCAGACCATCATGTCCAGTAACCCACTAATGTTCATCCATCTGCGTAGCCAGGTAACATGTAGTTGCTCCAACAATATCAAATTAAATGTTAATGCCAAAAGGCACATGATTGTATACTATGATTAATTACAGATACACTAAAGGAATGATTATGACATTGGAAAGTAAGGAAAGAAACAGAAAGGACCTAGATTATTCCTTTCATAGAGCTCACAACACCGGATGTTATAGGTAATAATCCGTATTAATGATTTACAGGGTAGCAATTTACATGTGACTAAACCTCTGAAGCTGCCTCAAGAAAGAAATCAGTCCTAAGTCTAGAATTCATTAGGATTCCTGCAGCTTCTGCATCAGTTTGTCCGTTGACATAGTGTTGACGGCAAACTGGCATGTAGATGTCAGCCCCACCAATCAGTTCAGTCCGTGTCTCCTGTGTCTTCCTCAATGTAAAGAAGGCCTTCCCACCACAAATTTCACATCGAGCTGTCAACTTGGTCACAGTATCAGCAAGCGGTATTACATCAAGAACAGAACCAAAACTCCTTCTGCAATTAAGAGTTTGCATTTCAGTCCAAGTTGGTGCACGGTTGACTAGCAACAAAAGGAATTGGAAGCAACGTGATGGACAAATTTTGCGAGATCCAAAAGTACGGAGAGGATTTGCTTATGATTGAGAAGCACCTTAAGTAATCGCCATCAAGGCCTGCAACAACGACAATTTTCCTGTCACGATCAGCAATTGTGCTGCAGAAATCATAAAGGTCTTCGAAGAATTGAGCTTCATCAATGCCAATCACATCAAGCTGCCAGCATGGAGCAGAAATAAGAAAGAACAATAAACTGTCAACACAGTGCTTGATCATAAAAATGGAACTTTACCGCACTGCTCAAATATTAGTATAGTAGCATCTCCAGTTCACAAAAATGCATCACGAATCGAAATCTCTTGTAGATCAAGTCAATCGCCAAGCTTCACCTCATTACTGGCATGTAAATGTTGGCTAGCACAAATGCAACTCTAGCACAAGCAGTCCACTGACTGCCAAAAACGTAAATTCTCATATACGTCTATCTTCTCCGCATAAATTGCTTACCTCTCTAGTAACCATTTGCGTCCCACAATACTCTCATCATAAGTCAACATGGTGGGTTGCGGGACATGAATGGTTACTATACGTAATAGCAAATCCATAGTAAGCATCCCCTCGTTACCTTAAAGAGCTAGGAAATGACCCAAGTGTTAAGCTCAAGAAAACTTATCAGAAACATGCTCTACATTTGTTCGTCAAGAGGTTGAACATGAACGCTATTGGCTTCACTGTCTCCAACCGTTCACCGCCCACTGGCAAACAAACACCAAGAGCAACGGCTGTTCTGACTTCAGTTATGCTTTACTCACAAGTACCCAGAGATGACGTACCCCTTCTGTCTTTTGTACGAAGATATTGATTTAAAAAATTAAGAAAACTTTTTAACGTCTTCCGGCTCACCTTCTCATAGGCATCGTCATCTCCGAACTCCTGTCTAAACGACGACAGATCCGACAAAACCCAGCACGGAAACTTCATTCCGTCATGGGTCACCACCGAATCAGTCGCATACCTCGTGTCCTTGCTCGACTTAATTATAGCCACGTTCCTACACGCAACACCAAAAATTCAGTCAGAATGATTCGAACCGACCGCACAACTTGCTGCCGCACTACAAGCCGCAATCCCCCATGACAAGCTACAGAGTCGACGCTCACGGCACATAATAAATCAACAAAGACGACCAAGACCCAACCAAAAAAGCGCGAGCCTAAATTCAAACTCCAATCCAGATAGATCCACGCCGCGAGAAAAAGGGGGTCACGGGTACCTGCCGCTGGCGAGCTCGGACGTGATGCGGCGGAGGAGGGCGGTGGTCTTGCCGGCGAACATGGGGCCGACGATGACGTGGACCTCGCCGCTGGCGGCGACATGCGCCCGGACCGGAGCAGACCCAGATGCGGGCGAGGGGAGAGGGGTCGAGGGGTCGAAGGAGGCCATGGAGGGAGCGAGAAAGATCGCAGCTTTGACCGCGAGAGCCGGTAAAGGAAAGGTGGGTCGGCGCCAGAGGGGGGCGAGAATGCCATGGCGAGGCCTCCAAGCTTATGGGGGTTGTTATATAAGGGGGAGGAGACTCAGGGAGGAGGAAGGTTGAATTTGGATTTCGAGCACGAATTGTTTAAACAAAAAGGAAGAAAGGAAATGGGAGGGAACGGCAGGAGAAGACCGGCGTTGGCTTTTCCCTGCCACTTTTGCGTGCTGGGGGAAGGAAGGCCTGAGGATTGGCCCACGCTTTGGAGGGAGATTTTGGGTTTTTCCACGACCGCCATTACGAATTTCGAATGGTGAAGCCAAAGCCATGGATGTTGATGTTGTTGGTGTTCCGTGCGGGAGATGCAACTCCGGAACCGGAAGGCCGGATGAAACCTTCCACTGGATCATGTCCCATCTTCCCGTATCAGATTATGGTATATTAATAACATTCGCCTAGGATCGACATCCGAAGTCAAGATGGCCGAGTTGGTCTAAGGCGCCAGTTTCAGGTACTGGTCCGAAAGGGCATGGGTTCGAATCCCATTCTTGACAACCCTCCTTTTCTTTTTTCTTTCTTTTTCCTTTTTCCTTTCTCTCGTTTTTGTTCAAATCATTCAAAAATTAATTTCTTTTCCTTTCCTTTTTCTTATCCCATGCCTCAATAGTAGTACATAAAAAAAATTGAATTAGGATAGTCCCATAAAAAGTCTTAAATTTTCCCTCGTTGGATATCATTACCCAAGACTTTTATTCGTTTCACCAATATCCCCAAACTTGTATCGACGATTAAAAAAATACCTTCTTTCCATATGGCCGTTAAAAATATTAACATGGGTTTAGCTCTTGGTCGGCGTGGCAGAGTGCGTCTATTGCTTTTGCCTAGCGTTATCCCGAGTACCACAAGTCAGATTTTTAATACTCGTTATGGATAGAAGTCTAACGGAAAATATTTTAAGATTAGGATTGTTGGTGACGGAAAAATTGTCCAAAAAGTTATAAACCTATTGCACATTTGACAATTCAGTTCTAAACATTTTTACGTTTTGCCAATTGAGCCCATTTGATCAATTTTGGTCAAAAATTGATGACGTGGACGCCAACAGTCCTATGTGACACGGTCAGCGTTAACGTGCGCAATTTTTAATAAATATTTTTCAAATTTTTTATTTTTCGTTTTCTTCTCTTTTCTTTTTTCCCTCTTTCCCTCCGCTAGCCATCGTCGGGCCTTAGGAAAGGGCCACCCTCACTGGCCTCGGATGAGGGACACTCGGGCCTAGGTTAGCAAGGGGGGCCCTCGCTGGGCTGGCGAGGGTAGCTCTTCGCTAGATCGGGCGAGCATGTGCAAAATTGAAAATGTGATGGACATAATAGGCAAAATTAAAAGGTTTAGAATTGAATTGGTCAAATTGTAATAGGCTTATGATTTTTTGGACAATTTTCCCGTTGAAATTTTTTTTCAATCAATGAATGTTTAGAATTTTTGGTGGGTTTATTCGAAATGGAAAATTAGTATATTAAATTTGCGATTCTTTCTCCTTCTTGAATGTTTTTGGCATGAGTAAACCGCGAGATTCATAAATAGCACAAAGCAGAATAACACAGTAGCCAGCACAAAACACCAGAAAGAAAACACACATGCGCCACCTAAACACATACTCTCTCTCTCTCTCTCTCTCCCTCACTTGGAGACAAAGTCGATCGTCCCCATGGACTTCACGTTATCTCCCGACGTCGCGTGCACCTGCGGCACCCCGCCCACCACCGAGTCCCCCGTCTGCCACACCTGGTTCACGCCGCTCGTCGTCCCGTTCTCCAGCGGCCCCACCACCGCGAATATCGCCATCTCGCCGCCCTCGTACTCCGCCGTCACATTCGACACCCTGAAGCTCAGCTCCTTCGCCGCCATAGACGGGCTGTAGCTGTCGATCGGCGTCGTGTAGGTGTTCATTGTCCCGTCCGAGTTCTGGAATGCCACGATGGCCTGTGACCCCACCATGCCCGTCCCCGTCGGGTTGATGGCCCACGCGATCCACCCGGAGGGCGACTGGGAGGCCCGGTAGGCCACGTGGAGGCTGGTGGTGGCGGGGTTGTAGGTCCAGTGCAGGTGGGCGCCGAGGACCGGGAGGTCGGTGCACGAGTCAAAGGCTCGGTCGCCCGAGAAGGTGTGGTTCGTGCAGCTGTCGGCCTGGGCCGAGGCCATGCGGAGTGAAAAGAGGACGATGCAGAGGGTAAAAAGGATGGGTTTTGCGCCGGCCATTTGTTGCGCAGAGGGTTCTTGAAATGGTCACGGCGAGTGGATTTCTCACGAGCAATGCAGAGAGTTAACAGAATCTTCAGAGTTATCAACGTAGAATTCGAACTTTTTGATCGTATAAACTGAAGGAGGAGCTTACACTGCTTAAGTGTCAACAATGGTCAAAAGGGTTCGAGCGTGATTAGCAACGGGACAGTTGGGCAGATTTATAGGGCGGGATGTGGTGAGAAAGAGCGATGATTTAAGTCAAGGGTTGTTCACTGGTCATGTTATTTTACCTTTCGTGCAGATTGCGGGATGGAATGTCGAGCTACAACTGTTCATCATTGAGTGTGCATGTGCGTTCGTGCGTGTGGGAGTTTTCTGTGGCACGAATGGAACGACCTCTCTCTTTTCTATTTCCTTAATCAGCTCGCCCGCTGCTATTCCGAGATAAGTGGGTCTTTCTCTGCTTGTTCCGACCTAATAAGGTGATAATTTGACAACAAGAGAAAGAAGGCCTGGTCTAACCTAGAAATGAGTGAACTACTGAGGAAACTTGTATCAGATAAACTCCAAGTCAAGTCCCACCTAGAATGTAGGGCTTTCTGTCTCTCTCTGCATTGTTTAGCAGAGACCAACAGAGTTTGCCACTTGCCAGGCAATGGAAGATGTTTTGAGTTCTCTCGATTGCTTGTCTTTTATGAATCCGATGTTTGAGGATGCATTATGTAGCAAGTGTTGTGAAGCAGTGACTAAGCAAGGCTGTGTGGATGATCTTTTATTGGGTGGGGTAGATGAAATAAGGAAGATAGAGAGGAGAGGAGAGTTAGGTGCCCCTCTTGTTTTCTTATGTGCGAGCACGCGCCCGTGTATATATGAACAGGTGAGAGTTTGCATGTTGCCAAGAGGAACTCAAAGGATGTGATCGATGTTGTTTGTAGGTCCATGCAAAAGGCGTCTCGCGTTCACTAGCATGGTCATTTTTCCGTGGCCATATATGCTATATACGAATACATAGGAAAAAGTATCAGAAAAGTCATAAATTTATTGTATTGGTGCCAATTTAGTCATACATCTTTTTTTTATGCCAATTTAGTCATAAACCTTTTGATCAAGTGCCAACTTCCGGCTGATTTTGGCCGGATATTGCTTACGTGGATGCTGGCCGGCTTACGTGGTACCGCCGCTGCTGACGTGGATAACTTTTAATAATATTTAAATATTTTTTCATTTTCTTTTTTTTTCTTACCGTTTTTTCTTCCTCCAGCCGGTCGTCGACCGGCAACTGGCCAGAGGCTAGGGCTGGCGAGGCGGCTCGCCCTCGCCGAATAGCCGCAAGGGCAGCCTCGTGCTAGGTTGGCGAGGCTTGCCCTCGCTAAATCTGGCGAGGGTCGAGCCTTCGCCGGCCCTAGCCTCTATCCAGTCGCCGGACCTCGGCGACCGGCTGGAGGAAAAAGAAAGGGAAGGAAAAAAAATAAAAAGAAAGAAAGAAACAATAAATAAATAAAAAAATATTAAAATATTATTAAAGTTGTGCACGTCAGCGTCGGCGGTGCCACATAGGCCGCCCGACATTCATGTCAGCAATATCCAGCCAAAATCAGTCGGAAGGATTGAATTGGCATTAGGTCAAAATGTTTAAGATTAAATTGGCACAAAAAAAAGATTTAGTACTAAATTGGCACAAATGTAATAGGTTTATAATTTTTCTGATATTTTTCCCCAAATAAGTAAAAGGAAATATTTTACCATTTGGCGTTTGTATTAAGGTAATATCTTTGAACCAATCCATGAACGAACTGATTGATTGATAATGGCGTCTTTGTCGTACCACACAATGTATAAGAAAAATTCAGACGATCCTTCTTTCCACTTTGAGAGAGCATATTGTTTCAACATTTTACGGGATAAAATTTCTAAATAGGTCGTTAAACCTAGTGCGTTTGTGCCAAATTAGTTATAAATATTTTAATTTGATCAATTGAGTCCTAAATCATTTGACAATTTACCAATTGTAGTCCATCTAGCCAATTTTAACATGAAATCGTTAACATGAATGCCAACCGTTTTACGTGGCATCACCAATACCGATGTGGACAATTTTGTAATTTTTTTAAAAAAGTTTCTTTTCTTTTTTTTCTTTATTGTGGTCAACGAGGGCCAGACAACCCTCACCGTCCTCGCCCTTGCCAGACTGAGCAAGGGCAACTCTCACCCAGCCCTTGCCTGCCATCAGCGAAAAGAAAAGAAAAAAAACAGAAGATGGAAAAAAAGAAAAAATGAAAAAACTAAAAAAATTAAAAATTATCCATATCAAAACCGGCCGCACCACATAAGATGGACGTCGCTAATTGGACCGTCACGTCATCGTTTTTATGTGAAAATTAGTCAAAATGATTATATTGATAAATTATTATAAAATTTAAAACTAAATTGACACAATAAAAATGCTTTTGTTCTTACCATTCACCTTCTATTTGGATGTTTGCTAAGATGGTGAATAAGAATCAACGCGATGAATACGCCTCGATCACGTATAGATATATTGGGTCAATTATAATAGACGGAATCACCACGTCAGGGTCGGCGATGTTGGGTAAGATTTTGTCTAAAAGTCGGCAAGCTACCTTAAAAATCGCCTTTCCTTTTTTTTTTTTTTTGTGGTTTTGGCATTAAAAAAAATCGGCCTTCTGATTTTCTAGGTTTTTTTGGGACAATTGCCTTTGTCCTTTGGGACAGCTGTCAAAATTTTGGGACGTGTTTCGGACTGAAGTGATCAAAGGATCAAATCGAACCGACAGAAATCTCACCACCTTTATGTGACGTGACCCGCGCTTTGAAAATTCAACTATTTCCAACCAAGAAACTGCATGGGAAAATTACTAGAGTGACAGTTGAAAAGACTTCGTGATATATATATGCATTAATAATAGTGAAGAATTTATTTAAATGAAGCACGTTAAAAGATTACACTTATCCGCCTGAAAAGTTCTTTAATTTTCGCTAACAATATTTCTTTTAAAAATCAAAATTGACCCATTGCCTTTGTCCTTTCGGACAGCTGTCAAAATTTTGGGACGTGTTTCGGACTGAAGTAGTCAAAGGATCAAATCGAACCGACAGAAATCTCACTACCTTATGTGACGTGACCCGTGCTTTGAAAATTCAACTATTTCCAACCAAGAAACTGCATGGGAAAATTACTAGAGTCCCGGTTGAAAAGACTTCGTGATATATATATATATATATATATATATATATATATATATGCATTAGTAATAGTAGAGAACTTATTTAAATGAAACACATTAAAAAGATTACTCTTATCTGGCTGCAAAGTTCTTTAATTTTTGCTGACAATGTTTCTTTTAAAAATCATAATTGACTTATCTCTATGTCGTGCGTTCACCTTACATTATCATTTTCTCTCTTATCATATTTTTATGAAATGTTATTTTTTTTCCGTTGAACCAATCAATCTCGTAAGCATGATATGGAAATTAAAAACTATCATTGAATTAGAAAAAAAAAACGATTATAGAGACTTTCTCGGTTGCTTCCTGCTTTAACATTATAATCACCCCCTCTTGTTCGTATAGAGACTTTCTCGGTTGCTTCCTGCTTTAACATTATAATCACACCCCCCCCTTGATGGAGGACTTGAAAGTTCTACCCATATTATAATGAGTCAAACAATCGCAAACACGACCAAGTCTCTTCAACCTTCACTTCTTCTAGGGTTTCCTCTCACATTTCAGGTTCATCATCCTGTATATAATGAGTGCTTTCGCTCCTGCGTTTCGCTTCATACCAGTTCGACAACAAGCTGCTGTAGCTCTTGAGAAACTCCTCACTGATCTCGAACTTCTACAGCTTTCATCGTCATTGGTGTCAGCCAAACTTCATCCCCAACATTCACCATGCACAAGGCAGTTTTGCCCGCTGCTCTATTCGTTCTGATCACCTTGTTCACTCCATCTTTCGCTAGTCAGGCCTGCAAGAACCACACATTCTCTAACAACAGAACTTTCGCCAGTTGCGTCGACCTCCCCGTCCTGAATTCGTTCCTCCACTGGAACTACAACCGCTCTTCGTACGCGCTCGACGTGGCGTTCCGGCACGTCAACACGACGCACTCGAGGTGGGTCGCCTGGGCAATTAACCCCTCGGGCAAGCAGATGATCGGCTCGCAGGCTCTTGTCGCCTATCAGAGGAACAACAACGGCTCCATGCGCGTGTACACGTCGCCAGTAGAGTCGTATGCCACGACGTTGCCGGAGGGGAGATTGAAGTACATGGTTTCGAGGATGTCCGCGACGTTTGAAAACGAGAGTGAGACGACGATATTCGCGACGGTTCACCTGACCAGCGACATGTTGACGATCAACCAAGTATGGCAAGAGGGTCCCCTAAATGGGAAAGCCGATGGACCGAGCATGCATGCAACGAGTGGAGATCACATCACTTCTTTTGGAACTCTCAATCTTGTCACTGGCACAACATCTTGATTATTAGAGAGATTATATTGTAATGAACTATTTATAGTGTGTCGAGCTTAATATTGTATTGCTTGATACTTTAAATGAAAATGAAACATGCAAAATAACAAGGATGATATCTAAATATAGTATGACGAAAATGTTTGTTATTTATTTGCGATAAATTATATATTTACAGGTCAATTGAAAAGTTTTCCATACCTACAAACATACATCACTACTGTATAGAAAGCAACCCAATGAGGATTTCAAACTCAAATCTTTTGCCAAAAGTTTCATGAAAAGCCCATCTTAAAAAAAAAAAATGTATCATCCATATGAGGTATAACAAAATAGACAAAATTGTAATTTAAATAGCGGAAAAATTGTCCAAAAAGTTCTAAACCTATCGCACTTTGTCCAATTCAGTCCTAAACCTTTCAATTTTGTCAATTGAATCCTAAATCTTTTCACATTTTGCCAAATGAGTCTATTCTGTCAATTTTAATTGGAAATCGCTGACGGATGTGTGGCGTAGACGTGGATAATTGTATAATTTTTTTAAATCTTGAATTTTTTTAATTTTTTTTCTTTTTCTTTCTTTCTTTTCCTTCTTTTTTCAACCAAGTCCGGCGAGGGTCGCCGGCCGAGATCGGCCACTGGGCGAGGGCCGTGACCCTCGCCCGCGACTGGCGAGGGTAGGCCGGCGACTCTTGCCGGGCTTGGAAGACAAAAAATAAAAAGAAAATATAAAAAATTAGAATTTTTTAAAAAATGATAATAATTGTACACATTAGCGCCCCGACTGTGTCATGTAGGACGGCCGACGTCAACGTCAGTAATATTTGGCTAAAATTAGCCGGATGGACTCAATTGGCAAAACGTGAAAATATTTATGATTCAATTAAGAAAAATCGAAAGGTTTATGAATAATTTGCCAAAGTGCAATAGGTTTAAAACTTTTTGGATATTTATCCCTTTCAATAGCCAAGATAACTATCAACCAAAACCAACGTATATCTTCCTTTTCAAGATTGAATGAAATCTCTCACTTCTTAGTCTCATTTAATTAACTTTCCTTATCCGACCAAAGAAAAATTAACTTTCCTTAATTAATTTGCATATTCATACGTGTGCTCTTTTGCTAATATATAATATGCAAGGAACATCATGTCACTCCACAAAAGGATGTGATTGAATGAGCTTTCCAAGTTTTCTCCATTATTTCCATGTGCCTTCAATCTTGCGTTTTCTTTCATGCAGTGTAATCGGAAAGCTGACTGGTTGAAAACCCAAATCGGAATCACTGTCTATTCTGAATACATTAGTGGAAATTTACCTAAAAATCAGGGTATATCCACAAATGGGTATCTGTACACAGATGTACACATGCAAATCAAGCACAGGTACGAGAAAGGAAAACGAAGAAAACCTGGAAATAACACTCCTTGATTAGCTTGCTATATATGTATGTACGCTCTGTGCAACAAATTATGACACAACCAGTCGACAATGATCGCATCTTCTGATACTTGATCTATAAATCGAAGTACCCTCTGGTCAGAATCTCTCGAGTTCGATCCAAACTCGGAACGATCCATCACCATGAACAAGCCATTACAACTCGCGGTGTTTGCCTCGATTATGATATCGCAATGCTCTGTACAAAAGTTCGTCTTTCTCTTAGGTGTGGGGGTGTCGGAATGTAGATAGTCCTACCATCGACACTACAATAACTGCTTTGTTCATTGAACGATTATTTCAATATTTGCTTTTTCCGTTTTTTTCTATGACGATGAACTTTGTTGCTTCGGTTTTCCCTCGATCTTATCTCCAGATTTTTGCTTGCTTTCTCCATTTTCTCCCCTCCCTTGTCAGAGACTTAATCCAAAAACTTGAATCAGCTATTCGCTAGATGAAATTCTAGGCCGTATACTATTCCCGTTGATATCAAAACTACACTTTCATATATGAGTTCGGCTAGCGAAATAAACTAGATTGTAATTTTTTTTTTATCATACTCATCCTCATGAAAACTACTTAAGCCTAATTTCGTCAGTTATCATGATAGAAGAAATTCGCGTTAATTTTTTCTCTTTAACATCCAATATTGTGAAGTTCTTACATCGCATTTATGAAAATAGCATTTACTTTCTTACGCGTTCATCGGATGTAAACTTATTGACATGTTAAAATTAATAAGTCATGCATATTGGCTCGCCCAAGATAACACTGTCTCTAGACAATTGTCTTGCTCACAACCGAATGTTGGATTCAAAGCATGAGTATTGCATAGCTTAAGAGAAACAAATACTTCGAAAAGGGAAACTTTTTACTACTCGATGCATAACAAGCTGCGTAGCATTTGGTTAAGTATCTATTTATGAAAATCCAATTAGATTGGCTATAGTGACGCCATCCCTACCAACTCTTAATTCAAAACGTATGCATAGTTGGCCAAAACAATAAAGTACAGAATAGCAAAAGAAAATAATAAATAAAAGAAGACAAGATACGTAATCAAAAATTGGATAAAATTGCAAGTACGCATATTTTCTAGGACCTAAAAAATATTCCAATTTTTCAAGGAATAGAAACTTTCACCGTTATGATTTTTATTCACGTGGTTGACACCAAAATGCGGGAAACCGACCGACACATACAGTAGACACCTCAGCAAGGCGAAATGAAGTCGTTTAGCACAAATAAATAAATAAATAAATAAATAAAACGGCACAATCTTTTAGTCATTTTAATCGAGGATTCGTCTGATTCAGTGAGAAAAGAGATAAAAGGAATGGAGCAATTCAAAATGGAAGAGCCAAGCTTGTGAACCAAGTTCTTCTTGTCCCGAACCAATAATTAGTGCTCCAACTCGACGATTTCGATCTAATTCGTCAATTTGCATGGAAGGATAAGTTAATGGTGGGTATTTTGTCGTTAAGCAAAAGTTCACACTTTTTTTTTTTGAAAAGCGAGGATATTTTTGTCTAAGGTGTATAAATTTCGGACATATACTTTATTAGTTTGTGATTGCCAGGACGTGCGTAACATAAAATAAAATAAAATAAAATAAAATAAAAGTACTCAGCAGTGGAAATTATGAGTAATAATGAACTGATCCAAAAGCTTCGAGGGAGAGGCTTGTATATCATGCTTAATCATTTTAAATCACTCGTTAATCGGTAGTTAATTTCATATTCACATTATATGATGTTATGACATGTGAAAATGATGCCGTATGTGTGTGCATATATATATATATAATATAAGAGGATTGAGATATTTTCCTAATACGGCGTCTTGACATAGCCTTAATTATTACGAAAAAATCTAACACTGGCGCAAAATTGAGTTGGCCTTCGGTGAATTCGAATTTCAATTGAGACAAAACGATTAAAGCAAATCGAAAGCGTGAGCTATAATGATCCAAGTTTATATACCCAAAACATTAATTCTTAAATCATCAAGTCTCGATTGAAGTCGACGCGTGCATGGTTTCAAATGTACCAAGTTCACATCAAAATTCCGCATTTCAGGCGAACAAAATTGGAATTATAATGTAATTTGATTCACGAGCGATTGAATTTGGGTGCCCCGAATCAAATGTCGGGTCCGACCCATGACCCGTCCGGTGCGACTATAAAAGCAAATGGCGGTAAGGCTTCTCTTTTTGGGTTTTGAAAAAGGATTTCCTCCAGGTGCGCGCTTCGCAACTCATTTCCTCCTCTCTCTCTTGATCTCGCTCTCGCTCACAGACGCACAGACGCACACAAACACAATCGCCGACGATCTTCCCTCACTTCATTCGCTTACTCTACTCTGCGTAGTCGAAGCCTCTCTCACTTTGATCGTTCTTCGTTGTGATTTTGCAGAGCCGATTCAGTATCCCACGACCGATTCCTGATGAGTGATCGCTCCTATTCCACATTTCGGTCCTCAATTCGGCATTAGGTTTCATTTCCGTGGCATTTGAGGCTATTGTAGCTGCATGTTGATGATGATCGAAGATTGTAGAGGCGATCGCAGCGATCGATCCATTTCTTACTCTCTGTTTTTTCCTTCTTCTTTTCCGGATAGTCGATATAGACTTGGTAGAGTCTTTCATTCCACGTACTTGACTCTGCGAAACCCTCGCTCTTCCTCGATCTTTGATCGTTCTTTGTTTTGATTTGCAGAGCGCATCTAGTAGCCCGACCAGACCGATTCTGGTGAGTGATCGGTCCTTTTTTCGCATTTCTGTCATGGATTCGTCGGTTATTGCAATAGGTTTCCATTTCAGTGGCGGTTCGGGTGTTTTTTTGTTGCATGTTGACGATGATGATTGTGGATTGTAGAGGCGATCGCAATGATTGAGCTATTTCTCACTCTTTCTGTTTTCTTTTTCGGTTAGTTGATGCTCTGTTATTGTCTGTGCCTCTGCGGTTCCTCTGCATTTAGAGAGAATTTTTTTTTTAATTTGTTAATTTAGTTCTGGAATCACTAGTGAATCGCGATGAGTAGGTCTCTGGTTTTTGGACCTCCAGGTGTGCCTCGTTAGTTCTTCGGCTTGTTGTTCGTATGTGAATTGGGGAGGTGTAGTGGTTTATGGCGGTTGATCTATGCTGTGTCGTTATCGGAGCATTCCACTAAATTGAGCATTGTTTGTGCTACTGACTGAATTGGGTTTTAAGAATGCTAGCAATACGCTTCATATTGTGAAAATGTAATCTGTTCTTCGGTATCTAGTTAAAGAAGCAAATACTGCAAGTGAATTAGAAGATTTCACTTATTATACTTCATATCTGCCCTTTAGAACAAACAATACCGATCTTATTCCTGTGACATTTCTTTTTGGATCCTTAAATTCAGGTCAGGTTCTCTTCCTCATATCTTAAATCTGTCGTTTATCTGATTGTGCCCAAATATTCTGGTTACCCCTTATGCTGATAAGATTTCTTGCTATTTATTATCCTGTACTCTCGAACATCATCACTCAAAACTTCCATTTTCTGCAATGCTGTTGAGGTTTTCTTTTAGGTGAAGATAGTCATTTTACAATCACGCAGCATGCTTGAATTCGAAAAACATCCATCCGCTTAGTCAAGGGCTAGTCTGCAAATTTTCCTGTTTTCATGTGGCAATGCTCCCTATTCATATTCACTGAGCAGCCGAGAAGCAAAACCCAACCAAAATGCAGCAAATTAATAAGTTCTCCATATGATAATAACGTTTAATGTCAACTTACCAGAAGCTATGGGTAGACTATTTTCATTAATTGATGTTATAAATAAATAAAATATGGAAGGACTCATTGTCTTAACACATATTTATGTACTTCAATTAGGATTAAAAGGCTCTCTGACCTATGTTTGATATGGTGTCTTAATCTAAATTGTCATTTTCTCTCTTTCCATGGTCATTTCATTTCTCTTCTACTTATCACTGTCCCCCCCATTTTGGCAGACTAGCCCTCTTCGGCATGGCGCCCGCACTTGCCCACCAGCTACTCCTGGCCCAACAGGAGTTCAGAGAGGCCAAAGCTAAGTTGGAAGAAGCCCAGCATCATAACAACCGTGCCCTAAACAAGAATTAAGTACTGATCTTTGATGATTATGTAGATTATAGCCCATAACATCTCTGTTTTCTCTCCTTCAGGCGATACTTGCTTCGCGCCGCCAAGCAAAGGCGCGATGCGGCTGTATCGAGGTTGGAAAGAGTAACAGGATAGATCAAAAGCAAGCAATGTCTGTTCCTGCACAATGTGGAGCAGGTCCATGCGGTCGTCGAGCTTCTGGAGAACCTCCACCACCGTGGGCGCCTCCACCGTGTGGAGATCAAGTGCCGCGAGGTGGAGGTAACCCGGGAGATGCGGTAGGCTCTACAAGAGTATGGATTTAAGTAAGTTTATGTTGAATTTCGGGTTTATATATGGTTTTTAGAGTTGAATTTGTTCTAAACTAGTATTATGGTTACACAGCCGCACGGAGTCCTCTGAGCTTCCTCCGGCCTGATGGCAACACAAGCCTCCCCCATTCGGTTGTATTGGTAAATGGTGGCATGCCTAAATTTTATAGATGTTTGTACTGATCTAAATTACTGTTTTTTAAATCTGTTTTGTAAGGTGAGGCCAGATGATATATTAGTTGAGTTCAATTGTTACTTCAATGGCTTGTTGTCTGGTGCATAACTTTCTATCTAAGTAGTTGGACAGCCTCTACCTCAATGAGGCATTTAGCCCCCATTAGCGGCTTTGAGATATCCTTGTGTGTTTTAAAGGCTATATATATATCTAAATAAACTGTTGGAGATACAAATTTTTTGGCATGCATCCGATGGTCTATGTAAATCAAACTTTCACTAATTGTATATGCAATAAAAACCCCTTACTTATCATACCATTGTTGGTAGATTAGTTCATATTAGTTGTTAGAGTCAATACACTTACGAATCCAGAGAAGTAACTCACATGGGCACAGCATTGTGTAAGACTCCTTCGCGACTCATGATCAGGCGAAGTGACAGTGCACTTCCCTTCGGGCACACAGCATGTTGTCTTATGACTATACTACATCGTCCATAAACCAAATAAATGTGTTCTCTCATACTATCGCTCTAATCAGCAACAGAAGCGGGAATAAAGAGGGAAGTTAAAGTAGCAAACACAAATGGCCGGTGTCGTAGATTCTTTGACTGTTTCTCTGTTCTGGATTGAAATGACTCGAGAAATGCAGTAACTTCAATTATCCATGGCCTTTGAATTTATTACATAACTTATAAATCCAAAATAAAGTCAGAGACAACAAATCTATGATAAATAAACTGCAGTAAAATAATAAAGATTAGGTTGCAAAATAATAGGCTCGCCGTTAATTAATCACCAGATCAATCTTGGAAGGTAACTTTCCCTTGAGCTGTTGCAAAGCCCGTTCTTTAGGTTCCTTCACTTTTTTCAACCCATCAGAGCCATATTCTTCATCACAAGGATTCACCACCAACTTCTCAAGAGCAATCGCATTGTCGATAAGGTAATTCACTAGTTCGAAATCACAAGGTCGACCATAATAATTATTAAATTCAGCCTCCTTTAGGTACCGATGGGGAGGTCTAACGACTCTTATCAGTTCTCTCTGCCTGCACAGCATGTCCATCGGGTTGGTCAGCTGTGGCAAAAGAAGAATGCAGTATATCATTAATCAGCAGAAGACATCATTGCAATAAAAAAATGCCAGTGGAAGAGAGAGCTTCCAAAAATAAAGTACGTCCTTGTGGATTGTCACAACGAGTAAATACTAATCACAGTGTTACAACTCACCCATGAGCAGAGGCTCAAATAAAATTCAACAGTGGCTTGGATTGTTATATTCATTCCTACTATGTCTGTCTAATGCCTAGATAGATGAAGACTTAGATGAGGCCTGAAAACACACCTCTAACACAAAACTCCGCAAGCAGGGGCATGCCTCGATCACGCGAGTCAACGGAAATAGACTCGCATCTCCAAATCAATCAACTCTTAGTTCCAATTGCTTGACACTTGTTAACTTAGGCAGTTGACGAGTCCATACGGTTTCCTGTATATTAAAGAGAGAATCAAAGGCAACCCAGATTATAATGAGGAAGTAACTTGGGAAACCTTATGAAAATAAGTCAGTGCTCTTACACAGAGTAGTAGGGAAAATTCAAGTTTGAGAATCTGCAGACAAGAAAGACTTGAAAGCTGAGACATGGTCACGTGCACACGTTCGAACCTACATCTTTCAACAGACACCTCGGACAGCCGGGGAACCTTGTCCAAAGACAATGGAATTTCCTCTCCTATTACTCTGTAAGCGAAGGACACAAGATTCGTGTCATAAATCTCTACACGTTGAAAATCCCGACAATATCGTATGCGCAAGTGCTTCAGCTTCAGTGATTGGCCAGAAACTCTAAGCCTATTCAAAGTAGGAGCATTCTCCAAAACCAATCGCTCTAGAACCGGACAATTGGCAAGCAATTGCTCTATGAGTTCTCCCTCCACACTTACTCGATTCAAGGAGAGCTCTTCGAGATACCTACAGCCGACATGCCAAGAACTTGAAGGGCTCAAGCCAAAATTACTTCGACCTGACGCCCTCTGCGAACAGCCTACATCAGCATCTCTAAGTATGTCATACCCTAACACATATGGCAAGTGACTAAGGTCACAATCAGGTTTATAATCCTCGGAACATGCGGGCTCAAAATCTAGTTCGAGAACTTTAACTTGCTTTGCCAATGCAAACCTAATCCACCGATCGATGCGAGACTTATATGAGATATTCAGGTCAAAGCGTAACGCAAATCTACGTAAAGCGTGATCTCCTCCACTTTGACGATGCACGACATTGTCCACCCATTCCACGTATCTCGCCCTCTCCTTTTCTGCCAGTTCGGGGTTATCTTCCATCTTCTCCAACAAGTCCAACCAGTCGAAATCAAGGTCGGTGACCAGAGAAGTACACAAGTGCCTCCATCTCCTGGAAAGAACACAGGTCGCTTGTGCTTCTCTAAATGTCAATCGAGATAATATACGGCCTATAACTTCTTCGGGCAAACAGCTGATCCAATCCTAGATTGAGTTTCGCCAGAAGAAAAAAGCAAACCAAGTAAGAAAAATCTGGAAATAAGAAGGAGGGAAAGCAGAGCAGGGAACATTCAACATCAAAAATCGAAAAAAAAAAAAAAAAAAACTCAACTTCGACACAACAACACCGAATCCATGGCAAAAGCAGCTAAAAGACCTCGGATATCCAAAGCTTCGGTGACGAGATAACATACATTCTAATTAACACAACCGCTGCCCCAATCAGCCAGTACATTCAACTGAAGATTTTCAATGATCGACGACGGGCATAAAGCTAGCATCAACAACTGGAAAAAAACATGAAACCACTCAACCTAGCTAACTGAACACCCCTTTTTCCCTTCAGCTCAACACAGCGAGCAGAGAAGGTGTATCTACTTCCGTGAAGAACAGGTTTAAAGCTCAAAAAAATCGAAACTTTAGGCGAATTCTTTACCTTGTCGTCTGATTTCGATTCAAATTCAGCGCGGGGCCTCTTTGGAGACGGAGAATCCATCGACGCCCGCGAAATTCAGCTTCAGTTTCGGCCAAATTCAGCTTCCCGATAGATTTCACATGTAGGGCTCCGGTATATATATATATATACCAATAAATTAATAAGTAAATATATTATATTATATACGAATATATATATGTATGTATATTCATTGTGACGTCACGTGATTAGTATCTACCGGATGCGTGGCAATCCACACGGACAACCCGTATCTTATCTTTGCAAGTTCTTTCTTCCATTAGCGCTCTCCATGCACGCTTCGCTCTAGATCCGAATTCAGAGACCAGTGCCTGCATAAAGATTCGTTTTTTGAGCTTGCAACTAGTTGTTCAGGAGAAGAAACTCTCTCTCTCTCTGTCCTGGCTAGATAAGCAAAGGATACCACTTTCTTTCTTTCATCTTTCAAGAGTTGGTCTTGCCTTTTTCTCTTCTATTGTCCCCGAGTTCTTTCATTCTTTTTTAGAGATGTCTTTGAATTTCGCTGCGCCTTAGATTAGCATACTGGGAAAATTTGGATTGGATATCTTGTCTGATGGAGCAAAAAGAATGGTTTTTTCTCCCTGAATTCAGTATTATCTTTGCCGTTGCAGTGTGAAAGTCGAGATTTTTCTTTAACTTCTTCTTTTTCTGGATGAATTAAATCCCAATTCAAAGGATTGAATCAGTTGTCTGCCGGATGAAATTATGGGTCTTATATCGTTTATATTGACATTTAAAGAAGCACAAGCAACTAATTGCGGACTCTAGTGACTGACCTTGATATGGATGGGCTCTAACTCATTTTACGAGATGAGAGCTAATCCGAATTCGCGAGGGTGAGATATATGGAGTGGGTGGATAATGTTTTGTAACAGTAGAATAATTACAGAGGACACCGCCCTTCACATAGATTTAGGTTGTCCTTTCACTTGAATGTCGGATTTCAGTCTTGCATCAATCGGTGGATTGAGTTTGCACTGTCGAAGCAAGTTAAGGTGCTTGAACTAAATTTGATTCCTAGGTATTCTCTGGATCCTTGCTCTTCATGCCTTAGTCGATCACCTTATCTATTGGGTCACGAGGTAATTGTAGTTGCTAATGCAGAGGTTCACTGTGGGATTCACGTCTCAATAATTTTAGTTTGAGCTCTGTTGGCTTTAGATATTTCGAAGACCTCTACATCAAAAGAAATTCCGCTGAATAGACAATGTCCCCTGCTAGTTGAGCTTTGCATTGGTTAGAGAATATGGAATGAGTGCATGTGATCATGTCTCGGGTTTTATCGTGCCTTTCTCGTTTGCAGATTCTCAAACTATGAATTTTCTTGTCCACTATGTGTAAACATCAACTAATATCTAGTTTCAGACTTTATTTTTATTCATTTGTTTTCTGTCACCCTCCTCCCTAATGATGCTGCATTGCCTTCATTTGATTCAGTTGGGATGCCTAAGGTCTCATCTTCCGCCTGAATTTTCAGTGTCAAGCAATTGGAGGTCAGCCATGTAGCATATGAAGATAATAGTCCCCTTCCACTATCTCTCTTAATCATGGCAATGTCCCTATTTGCAGAGGTTTGTGTTGCAGGTGGGTCTTCTGACTCCATTCAGTTGTCGATTTGTTGTGGTGGAATAGAATCCAAACCAGGTCACTATTAAAATTTAATAATATTTGCTTGTCTGTGCATGGCAATTCACAAGAGTTGCCTTGAAATTTTTACTTTGGTATAACTTCGATGTGTTGATAAATGGAGTAAATTTACTTCCTTTTAGGAGTTCTGTCTTGCATTGGCGTTTGGCTGTAAAATTTCTGTTTCAGTGATTAACATAGGCAACCCAGCGACGATCATCCTCGCTTCAAGAGTTGAAAATATCGAAGAGAGCAAGAGAACGTGCCAAACGACGGCTTGAGGTAAAGCTACCTGGTCAAAGTCAAAGTTCAAACTGTTGATTTCTTGGTGGCCCGGGAGCCTCATCCACACTGCATGGTGAAAGATTTTTTTGAATTCTGCAACTTTATTCCATAACCCTGATACAAGATGTTCGTTTTACTTTTGATTGCACATGTTTTTTCTATAATTAGTTTGGACATGTCGTTATCAAAAGTTCAAGGCTTGTGATTATAATTGCTCCTTTTATCTCTAAGGATTTACCAGACCACCGAGTTAAAAGAAAAAACAGAGAAATTGCACTTTAGCTCTCTTATCTATGAGTGGTAAGTCATCTGCTAAATATCCCCGGCATGTATGGAGTCTCCGTCTCCAAAAGAGGTTCCACTCTGAATCTGAAGAAGATTCTCACGACAAGGTAACGAATTTTACTACAAAACTTCCATGTGAGCTTGGAGCTACTTTTTCATAGAAGAAGACATCTGTGTGTGCGCTTGCTGAGCAAAGGACGCGCGTTTCTTTCTTCCTCTGGGTATACGTGTATTAGATTAGCACAAATTGGCTCTCGTGGCAAAAGATAATCTTTTTCTCAGGTGTGGGGGCATCGGAATGCATATTTATTCTGCAAACATTGAATTTTTTTCTTTGCCAATGAACTTTGATCTTCGGGTTTTCCCTTGATATTATCTCCATATTTTTGCTTGCTTACTCGATTTTTCTCCCTTTTTCCTTTGTCAGTGAATCTCAATCCACGGGCTTGGATTAGCTCAAACGCACTGCGTCTTAACGATATTCTCCATCAAGTGTAGCTCAATGTAGAGTGAAAAACAGAAGACCAATTACATACTTCATCATCCCCTTAGTGCCATCTTTCTCCCAAGCATACTTACGTAAAGCAGGGAACCAAGAGACCCGGCACCGTAGCTGAATAATAAGCAGAATGCAAGCGCAGAGATGTGCGTAGCAAGGTTTGCAAGCAAGTCAGCATTATCAAAATGTGATCCCTTTAACATGCTTAAGCGTGACACAGAAGCCTTTTCGTCGGAGCTTTTGGAGCAGTTTATGATCACTCATAATCCCCGCTACTAAGTATGATTCCATGCAGAAAGTCATTGACAACAGAAGTCGCGTAGACCGAGTTTGCCTATAATTCTACGAAGACAAAAAAGTAGATGCTGGTGAGATCGTGAGCTGGAACACGCTTTGTTACGTGTTAAAGATTCCTGTTAAGGTTAAGAAAAAAGTTTGTTTAGCTATTCCTCTCGTTTTATATGTAATTAAATTTTTTTTTTGAAAATATAGACAATCAAAATCCTTTTTGCAGCTCGCACTAGGAAGACTATATGTTTAAGTAAAATGGGGTAAATCATTCCACATTTTGCAACCGGTGAGCTGTGTTCTTTTCCATATTTTCTAATGTTTTGTCGAATCATTTCTCAATATTCTTGCCGCGTGGCAAGATCGTCTTTCTTTTTCTTTTTTTCAATTGGCACACGTGCTAAGGGTGTAACTGGTAAAGAATATTGATAAACATAGGATGGTGTAGAATAGATTCGTCGTGGACTCATGGACAAAGCCAAACATGTTTAAGTATCTGCTCGAGCACAAAACCTGACAAGTTTTCTAAGTCAGAGTATCTGCTCGAGCACAAAACCTGACAAGTTTTCTAAGTCAGAGTATGATATTTTGGTTAAGTTGAACTCGGTGTACATATCACGATAACTTATTTTTGTTCATATTCATGTTTCTTCAACTCTGCATTTAGGATTCCGTTATTGATTACCCCCTTTATGTTTTGAGAGTTCCCCGAACTAGTCATGGCCACGGGCCGGTTTTGGCCCGGAACCGGCCCGGGTCAAACTCGGGACCGGCCCGTTGACCGGGCCCGCGGTTCGGAACCAGAACCGGCCCGTGGCCTACAGGCCCGGTTCCGGTTCAAAAAAAAAAAAAATTGCTCCAGCCCCACCCCCACGTTCCCACCCCCACTCACGCCCACCCACCTCCTCCAGTCACAGTCCTCCTCCTCCAAATCCCTCCTTCCCCCCTCTCCCCTGCGCCTCCTCCGATCCTCCCCTTTTCTCCTCCGCCCGCTCCCCATCTTCCCAGATTTGACCCTCGCCGTCATCGCCGCCGTAGCCCCCGCCCATGGCCGTAGCCGCCGACGCCGACGCCGACACCCCCTCCTCCTCCCCCCTCGCTACCCTGCGCTTTCTCCCCTTTTCTCCTCCGCCCGCCCCCCGTCTCCCCAGATCTGACCCCCGCCACCGCCGCCACCGCCGCCCATGGCCGCAGCTGCCGACGCCCCCTCCTCCTCCCCTCCTCCCGACCTCGCCCAGCCCCCGGAGGAGGAGGACCCCCCGCTCCTCCTCCCCATCCCCGTCCCCGTCCCCCTCCTTCTCCCCCTCGCCGCCGCCCCCGTCTTCCGCTTCATCTCCTCGCCGCCTTGAACCCCGCCTCCGCCACCGTGGCCAAGGCCACGAAGCCCGAGCGACGACCGACGGAGGACCAGGCCTGCAATTTTTATTTTATAATTTATTTTATTAATTTTTAAATTACGAACCGGAACCGGAACCGGAACCGGCCCGGAACCGTCGATTCCAAACCGGAACCGGAACCACCCCCTTGCGGTTCCAGTTCCGGTTCATACATGGCCACGAACCGGAACCGGCGGTTCCTGAACCGTGGCCATGTCTACCTCGAACTATAGCCCTTTTTGGGTATAAAAATGCTAAAAGATGAAAATTTTGCCAAATTTGAAGTTGAATATCGCTAGCATGTATGGATTTTCCATCTCCAAAAGAGGTTCCACTTTAAATCTGAAGCAGATTCTCATAACAAGGTAACCAATTTTGCTGCAAAAGTTCAATTTTTGAGCTTGGAGCATGTCTTTCATGGTAGAAGACATCTGTTTGTGCGTGCGTGCTCGCTAAGCAAAGGATGCACGTTTCTTTCTTCCTCTGGCTATAAATTGTCTTAGATTAGCACATGCATGTGAACTTTTATTTTTTATTTAATTGGGTGACTGTTGGAATAATAAAATTTGGAATTGATATTCTAATATGTCTTTAAAGATTACATAATATTTATAGACCTTTTAGATAACTAGAACAATTAAAAACTATCTTGAAAACAAGCAACAATAAGTAAACATTAATTTCTTCGAAAACAATTTCCAAGACTCCAAATCTCTAGATAATAATTGCAAGAATCAAATTCACGAGATGAACTTGGATTACGAAAAGTCTTTTTTATTTCCAACAGCCTCCCTTAAACCGAGCTCATCTTGACCATGTCGATCATTCTCTTGAGTTTAAGGAAGGAGTCCGTCTTCAACGGCTTAGTAAACATGTCAGCCACTTGGTCTTCCGACTTGCAAAACTGTAACCAAGGAAGATGCACTTCTCACTCTTCTCATCAAGCTTCTTGCGAAGCTCATTTGGCACATGGGCATAAGCAATACACCCGAACACACGAAGATGCTGAACTGAAGGGATTCGACCACTCCACACCTCCGCCGGAGTCTTGAACTCAAGACCTTTAGTAGGACATCGATTCAACAAGTAAACAGCACAAGCAACCGCCTCCGCCCAGAAATGCTTAGGCAATTGTTTGGAACGAAGCATGGTACAAACCATATCAACAATAGTGCGGTTTTTTCTCTCCGCTACTTCGTTCTGTTGAGGAGTATACCGTGCTGTCAATTGATGCTTGATGCCGCACTTTTTGAAGAAGCCATCACCAACCAAATATTCTGTGCCACGATCAGTTCGGAGAATCCGAATTTGGTGCCCACTTTGTTTTTCTACATAGGCTTTGAACTCCTTGAAAGCATCAATGGCGTCGGACTTGTGCTTCAAGAAATAAACCCATGTTTTCCGGCTAAAGTCGTCAATGAAGGTAATAAAATACTTGTACCCTCGATTTGACGATTCACCGAGCGGTCCACAAAGGTCGGAGTGCACTAACTCCAATGACTTTGAAGCTCTCCATGATTGTCTCGAAGGGAAGCTATCTTTGCACTTTTTTCCAATAACACATGGTTCACATATCTCCTTCGGAGAAGAAATTTCGGGTAGTCCATGCACCATCTTTTTTCGAGACAACAGCTTCAAGCTGTCAAAATTCACATGCCCGAACCGCTTGTGCCAAAGCCATGAAGAATCTTGCACCGAGGCACTAAAACACGAGGTAACATAATTAATATACAAAGGAAAAAGTCGATTTCGAGCCATTTTTACCTTCGCAATCAACCCTCCTTTGCCATCATGAATCGTGCAAAGCTCATCCTTAATGGTCATGTGATAGCCTCGCTCGGACAATTGTCCCATGCTTAGGAGATTTTCTCGAAGACCGGGAACATAATGAACGTCGAAAATGCTTTGAATCGACCCATCCTTCGCCTTGATTTTAATTGCCCCCTTTCCCATGATAGGAACTTTGGCATTATTCCCGAACCTCACCTCCGAACGAAAGGTGTCATCAAGTTTTGAGAATAATTCCTTCTCGCCGCACATGGGGGGAAGAACAGCATTGGTGCCAAAAGTTGTGTACGGAGCTCACTTTGGTGCCAAAAGTTTCATTTGGATCACTTAAGTGCCAAATCGGAGGAAAAATGATCACTTTGGTGCCAACGGCGAGAAATTCCGGCCAAATTAATACGTGGTATTTATAATTAAATTTTTAATCTTAGTTGGATTTTTTTTTAAAAAAATTAATCTACGTGGCATTTCCACGTATATATTTCGATTTTTTTAAATACTTTTCTGAATTTTTTTCTTTTTTTTCTTCTTTTCTTTCTTCTCCCTTTGGTCACCGCCGGTGACCGAGGCCGCCACCGGCCCCCGCCTCGCCGGGATGAGGCCGCCGCAGCCGCCACAGAGAGGCCCGGCCGACCCTCGCCCGGGCTACGGCGGGCAAGCCCCGCGAGGTCGGCCTCGCCGCATGGGCGAGGGCGAGCCCCGACGAGGGCTCCTCGCTAGATCCGGCGAGGCCGGCCGTCGTCCAGCCACGGCGGCCCGCCGGCGTCGCCTCCCAGGCCTCGCCCGGCGGCCTCGCTGTGGCGGGCGGCCTCGCTGTGGTGGTGGCGGCGGCCTTGTTCGGGCAAGGCCAGCATGCGGTGGCTGGCCTCCGGTCACCGGCAAGTGACCAAAGGGAGAAGAAAGAAAGAAAAAAAGAAAAGAAGGAAAAAGAAAGAAAAGAAAAAAAAGGAAAAAAAATTATTTAAAATAAAAATCTGATGTACGTGCGATCAGTATCTCCGAGAGCCACATCGGCTTCAAAAATTAATAAAAAATGCCACGTCGGATTCCCTAAACCGACCGGAGTTGGCACTTAAGTGATCGTTTTTCAAAATTTTTGGCACTTAAATGATCCAAATGAAACTTTTGGCACCAAAACGAGCTCCGTACACAACTTTTGGCACCAATGCTGTTCTTCCCCCCCGCACATGTGATTGCTACATCCGGTGTCTAAGTGCCAAATGTTCTTCTGGTTTTCCACCGCAGCATCACACGTGAACAAAAGAGCATTGTCATGCTCATCGTCGCTATCAACAAATCTTGCTACCTTGGCATGAAACTTTTGACCACCAATCTTCTTGCTTCGACAATCAGATTGATAGTGCCCATGCTTTTTACAATTAAAACATTGAATATGGGACTTATCTTTTCGTTGTCCAGAATGCTTCTCTTGCCACTTTTTATCTTTCCTTTGATTAGAAAGTTTCTTCTTTTCATCGGGCAACACCAACTGGCTTTGTAGAGCTTCCTCTACCGTCTTGGATTTCTCCTTGAGTCGCTGCTCGTGCATTTGTAGAGAGCCCATCAACTCATCAACGGTCAAAATAGAGAGATCCCGAGACTCTTCAATGGAAGTCACAATATGTTCGAACTGCAAAGTTAGCGTCCGAAGAATCTTCTCAACAATCTGTTGGTCACCAATAGTCTCACCATTGGCCTTCATTTGATTGACAAGAGCCAATGTCCGTGAGAAATAGTCGGAAATGGACTCCGACTTTTCCATTTGAAGGAGCTCAAATTGTCGACGAAGAGTCTGAAGCCGAACCTTCTGGACCTTCTCAACGCCTTTGTATATTTTGATGAGAGAGTCCCAAGCTTCTTTTGCCGTCTTCGAATTCGCCACTTTTTCAAAGATTGACGAATCTATCGCTTGAAAGATGTAAAAGAGAGCCTTACAATCTTTCTTGCGATTTTCTTTTATCGTCCTCTTCCCCTCCGTTATCAAATCTGTCGGCGTTTCTGGCTCCACGAATCCTTCTTCCACAATCTCGGTCAGCTCCTAAAACTTGAATAGCACCTCCATCTGGATCTTCCAATGCTCAAAATTCTTCCCATCGAACCTTGGGAGTTGAGGTTGGATCGTCCCGGCACCATTCACAGAGGCCATATGACACAAGATTTTCTAAGCCGAATTCACAAAACTCAGCCAAAACTGGCTCTGATGCCAAATGTTGGAATAATAAAATTTGGAATTGATATTCTAATATGTCTTGAAAGATTACATAATATTTATAGACCCTTTAAATAACTAGAACAATTAAAAACTATCTTGAAAACAAGCAACAATAAGTAAACATTAATTTCCTCGATAACAATTTTCAAGACTCCAAATCTCTAGATAATAATTGCAAGAATCCAATTCACGAGATGAGCTTGGATTACAAAAAGTATTTTTTATTTCCAACAGTGACCCAGACCTACCAGGACTACAAGTTCTCGAACCAAAACACCTACACGAATTGCGTTGATCTTCCCGTCCTGAACTCGTTCCTCCACTGGAACTACAGCACGTCGTCGCACTAGCTCGACCTGGCGTTCAGGCACGTGGGAGCTACGACTTCCGAGTGGATCGTTTGGGCCATCAACCCAGTGGGACTCAGGATGGTAGGTTCTCAGGCCCTCGTCGCTTATCAAAGACCAGACGGACGGTTCTACGCTTACGCGTCGCCAATCGACAGCTACGACACGAGGCTGCAGGAGGGGAGATTGAGCTTCAGCTTCTCCGCGCTGTCGGGGACGTTTGTGAACAGTGAGATGACGATATTCGCGTCGCTTCAGCTGACGAGTGGCACGGTGATGATCAACCAGGTGTGGCAAACCGGTCCCTTGAAAGGGGGTACACCGGCGATTCATGCTTCGACCGCGGATCATCTCACGTCGTTGGGGACTCTGGACCTTATCAACAGCGATGCTACTTGAATTCGACCTGATATAGGCGATGGCTTCAATGTAGTTGCTTGTGTACTCGAGACTTCAGCAATTAGAAATGTTTGAAACTTTGAACAAGAAGTATGATGGGTTATGAATAAATGAGTACTAGCATAGAGACCCGTGCAATGCACGGAGTTTAAATCCCTTTTCTTTTCCTTATTATTTGATTAATTTGACAAATTTCAAGAAATGTCCTTCTATTTTTGTTCTTTATGGACAAATTTTCCCATAATTGATGTACTAATAATTTAATTACCTTTTTAGAATTCATCTCACTAAAATTTGAAGCAAAATAACAAGAAATGGTGCTACCGCTCGAGCTGTTAAATTGGGTCCATTGCCTTTATTTCCACCCAGCTTAGGCTTCATACTCCCCGAAGAGTTAAAATGACAGTATAACCTAAATTGCGAACACATGACTTCTATTGTTCTCTGACATTCTAGTGAAAAAGAAAATGAAAGCCAATCAATTCGAGACCCTACTCTTTCTCTCTCTTCTCTTGTGCTTCACTCCCTCGATTGAAGATTTAAGCAACTTCAATCTATCGAAAGCCGTGGCAATCACCTTCTCAGATCTCCACACCAAATTGGGCCTCAAGTCTCTCGATGACTTCCTCTCTAGCAAAACTTACATCTCCAACTCTCTCTCTCTCTCTCTCTCTCTCTCTCTCTCTCTCTCTCTCTCTCTCTCTCTCTCTCTGGGATCAATTTCTCAAATCAATCTTTTCCTCGGCATGTTAGGATGCTTATGAGCGCTTTAACGTCAGAGATCAACTCACAAACGACATAAAGGTGTGCACTACAGTTCTAAAGAAGCCTAGAGGTTCCTTCCCTTATGCAAGCACGTAGTACAAGTGTGTTCTTCACATCGCTCTGCTAGGTATGTTTCGCTTGTCGATTTGCTTATTCAAAAGCCATTGCTCAATTGTTCATCGAGGATGTTCTCAATTTTGCTCGCTCTGTACTTTATTTTTCTCTAGGATCGCTACTAATAATTTGTGTAGTGATTGATTTGATGGTTGTGACTTTCATTAGGTTGATGCTAGTTCTTGTTCGTAAGCTAGCCGACAGCTCTCAATGGAGGACGAGGAAGAGAGAAAAAAAGAAGTGGAACCGTGTGAATGGTTATCGATGAGCTACCAACCAAATGGAGAATTGAATGAAATGAAGACGTCAATTGAAGAATTGCATAGTTAATTTTAAATTTTGAACCTAATCTATCTTATAAACAACCTCATTAAAAAAAATCTCGAAATACTTTTCTTTTTCTCCATATATATATATATATATATATGTGTGTGTGATGTCTTAATATTGAATTAATAATCTCTTTTCACGTTGCTGAAATTGCCATGGCTTCCTCCTCTCTTGGCGGCGGCGGCGGCATGACTCGGGCCTTTTGTTTCTCCTTCGAAAACCCTGATCGAAGAGACTCAAGAGTTGCCATATGGCGGCACGAGAATGTGGAAATTGCCATATGGTGGCGGGTGGATGATACATGTGGAATATGTACAATGCTAGAAAGACATGATCGCAAGCATGCCCAACCGGAGTATATTAAGGGGGCAAATTATGCCGCGTCTTTTCCATTTGATTGCTTGCCCGCAGCATTGATGAGGTTCAAACCCTTCAAGAACTACAAATCGAAAAGGGCCGAATGTAAATAAAAAATGCACAATATTTCAATAATGACACCAACTTAACTAGGCTTAAAACGAAAACTTCAATAATAATGGGGATGGTGCGCAGTCATTGCGTGCCTCGTGTCGCCACGTGGGCCTCCCTTTCCATTTTTTTTCCCTTGCGAAAGGGAGGTAGCTGCTATAATAGTTTGGCCCTGTGCAATTCTGGTCGCAAGCATGTTAATAGCGTTTAGGTCTTGGAAGAATGTTCGACCTTATAACCTTGCAATTTAATGTAAAACTTCTTTTATGGGACAATTTCGCGACAAGTCGTCAATAAATATCTTATGTATATCACTTCACATTCCTTATGAGATATGCTAATCATCATTTTAAATCACCTTACAGTTAGAAATTCACCGAAGCCATTCTAAAGGACGATGGAATGTCAAACACATCTTGTTTGACATGATATTTTATGAGATGACACCAACCCTTCTAAAATGTGCTGGTCTCTAGACGGTAGAGTATCCGGCTAACTCCATAGTCGTTCACACATACTCAGACAAGAGATCGGCCTTGGTCAATGTCTTCCTCACATGGAATCATAGCCATACACATGCATTACAATAATTTGTCCTTGCACATGTAATTAATAATAAACAAATAATTACTCGCACTTCAACCGAGTTAGAAACCGTAAATGGAAGTGGGTATCACTGGCATGTGGGTATACTCGGCATGTGGATATACTCTGCATGTGGGTATGCTCGACAAGTGGGTATACTCTGTAAGTGGATCTCGGTAAGTGGATATACTCGCAGTAAGTAGATATACCCGGCATGTTGGTATCCTCGGCAAGTGGATCTCGACAAGTGGGTATACTCGGCATGTAGATATAAGCGTCATGTGTATACATCTTTATACAAATATACACATGCAAATCAAGCACAGGTATGAGAAAGGAAAAGGAAAAAAATCTTGAATTCAGATCAAATTATGGAAATAACACAAAGTTGTGTGGCTCAGTCACGACTCAGATTATATTCTCCATGATTAGCTAGCTATACATGTACGTACGTTTCGGTGCAACTAATTATGACACAATCGGTCGACAATTGATAGTATCTTTTGATACTTGATCTATAAATTGAAGTACCCTTCGGTCATAATCTCTTGAATCCGATCCAAACTCGAATGACCGATCACCATGAACAAGTCATTGCACCTCGTAGTATTTGCCTCAATTCTGATCTCTCTATGCTCTCTGTCTCTCGCTCAGACCTGCCAGAACTGACAAGTTCTCGAACCAAAACACCTACACGAAATGCGTTGATCTTCCGGTCCTAAACTCATTCCTCCACTGGAACTACAGCACGTCGCACCAGCTCGACCTGGCGTTCAGACACGTGGGCGCCACGGCCTCCGAGTGGATCGCTTGGGCCATCAACCCATTGGGACTCAAAATGATAGGTTCTCAGGCCCTCGTCGCTTACCAAAGACCAGACGGACCGTTCTACGCTTACGCGTCGCCGATCAACAGCTACGACACGGAGCTGCAGGAGGGGAGATTGAGCTTCAGCTTCTCCGCGCTGTCGGGGACGTTCGCGAACGGCGAGATGACGATATTCGCGTCGCTCCAGCTGACGAGCGACGTGGTGACGATCAACCAGGTGTGGCAAAACGGTCCCTTGAATGGCGGCACACCGGCTATACATCCTAAGACCCCGGATCATCTCGCGGCGCTGGGGATTCTGAACCTTGTCACCGGCGCTGCTAGTTAAGTTCGTCTTGATTTAGGCGATGGCTTCAATGTGGTTGCTTATGTACTCGAGACTTTAGCATTTGTAGAAATGCTCGAAACTTTGAACAATAAGAATGGTGGGTTATGAAGTGCAATGCCCGGAATTTATATATATTTTTCTTTCCTTTTTATTTGATAAATTTCAAGAAATGTCCTTTTATTTCTCGTTTTTTATTGACATTTCTTCGGTAAGCCATATACTAACCTTCTTAGAATTCATCTCACTAAAATTAGAAGCAAATTCTCATAAGGAATGGTGCTATTGCTCGAGCTGTTAAATTATGTCCATTGCCTTTATCTTTCGATGGGCTGTTTAGCTGCGAACTAGGAAATTCATATTCTTTTCAAGTAAGAAAGGTAGCCGCTATTTTCACCCTCAGCTCGGGCTCCCTACACTCTTTAGAGTTAAAAAATGACAAAATAATCAAAGTTTGAACACGCAGCAATGGTCCGCTATGGATGAGCGACACTGACGATGCTTGAACGCATGCCACCGTGGACGGCCAAATCTGAAGCTGGATGTGAACAAATGGCTTTTATTTCTTCTCTCACGTTCTAGTGAAAAGGAAAAATGAAAGCCAATCAATTTAAGACCCTACTCCCTTTGCCGTCTCGATTGAAGAAGGTTCAAGCTCCTTGCTTCACTTCACTCACTCGCCATCAACTCTTCGCATCTCGATCGATCGAAACCCCTGGCAACCACCTTCTCTGTTAGAAAGAGTCAAAGTTGTTTTTTTATGATTTTCAATTAATGGCTAGTCGTGTGTTTCTGTTACACTTAGTGGGTCCTGGAGTTTTGGACTTAGTTAGCGCATGTTGCTGCACACGTTCACCATTTTGAATCAAAGTAGTTGCTATTTTTGTTGGGATCTCTTCTGTTGATGTACAGCCTATAAAACGGCTAAGTTGTTAATTTCAAGAATAGACGAATGCAGTAAGCATCTTCAACCAGTGTGTCTCTCCTTTCTGGGTTTCTTTTTGTTGCTTGCAAAGCACAGCCATCTTCTGCATTTTTTGTATCAGACGTGGTATCGAGCCAAGCAGCAATCATGGCCACGATTCCAATTTTGTCCAACCGGCAATCCTCGCTTTGATGGTCATTATGACCATTGGAGCATGTTGATGGAAAATTTTCTAAGGTCCAAAGAATTTTGGGAAGTTGTTTCTTCTGGAATTCCTGAACCGGAAGAAGGAGCCACGTTGACAGCAGCACAGGGACGGCTCTAGAAGCAGTTAGGTTGAAAGATCTTAAAGCCAAGAACTATCTCTTTCAGGCCATTGACAGATCTGTCTTGGAGACAATCCTTTGCAAGGATACTTCCAAGCAAATATGGGATTCTATGAAAAAGAAGTATCAAGGCTCTGCAAGAGCAAAGAGGCAACAACTGCAAGCTCTTCGTACGGAGTTCGAAACGCTACGAATGAAATCAGGGAGTCGGAGTCACAGATTATTTTTCAAGAATGATGGCAATCGTTAATAAGATGCGAATCCACGGTGACAAGACGGAGGATGTCACCATTGTTGAAAAAAATTCTTCGATCCTTGAATCCAAAATTCAATTTTGTTGTCTGCGCCATAGAAGAAGCTAAGGATACTGAAGAACTTTCAATTGATGAACTGCAAGGTTCTTTATTGGTTCATGAACAGAAGCTCCAACACCAAGATACGGAAGAACAAGCCTTGAAGACCTCTACTAATTTCCGTCATTCTTCAAAGAACAAGAATGAATAATGGTAGAGGGAGAGGAAGAGGATTCCACCAACGCAACAGCAACATCAATCCAAGAATTGTAGGCTCTTCTTCTAATGATGCACGAAGTGGAGGTCGAGGTTGGTATGCAGGTGGTTTCAAGCCAAAACCAATAGATAAATCTAAAGTTGAATGCTTTAGATGCCACAAATATGGACACTACAAGTCCGAATGTCGAACCAATCTTAGTCGACATGTGGAAGCAACAAATTTTGCTGCAGCAAATGAAGAAGAAGGAGAGAAGCTCCTAATGGCATGTCAAGAGAAAGAAATGTCTTCACCAAATTTATGGTACCTTGACACTGGTTGTAGTAATCATATGTGTGGCAACAAGGAGGCATTTTCTTCTATCGATGAAACCCACCGCACAAAAGTGAAGCTTGGAGATGATTTTGCCATTTCAGTCATGGGAAAAGGTACTGTTCAAATTTCTTCAAGAGGGAAAATGCAGACCATTAATGATGTTTTCTATATTCCTGAATTGAAAACAAACCTCATGAGTGCTGGCGAATTACTTGAGAAGGGGTATGAAATTGTATTTAGAGGTGGAGTTTGCAAGATTTATGATCAGCAGCAGAACTTGCTTGTTCAAGTTGATATGACATCAAATAGAATGTTTCCTCTTTACCTTCATGATTCTGATCATGCTTGTTACGTGGCAAAATTAAAAGAGGAAGCATGGATATGGCATTTTAGATATGGGCATCTTAATTTTGGTGGTTTGCGGACACTATACCAAAAGCAAATGGTGGAGGGACTCCCTGCTATCAAAATCCCATCAGAAGTTTGCGAGGATTGTGTTGTCAGTAAACAACATTGAGCTCAGTTTCCACAAGGCAAGGCGTGGAGGGCAAAAAAGTAGCTTGAGTGTAAGGACCCGGGGTCTACACTGTGTAATATTGTCCGCTTTGGGCCCACTGACCCTCACGACTTTAAAACGCGTTGTCTTGGGTAGAGGCGCTCTCTGGCCCTTCCTCCCCCAAGCCCAATATTGTCCTCTTTGGGGCGCAAGCCCACAGGCCAGACCCACCCCTCAAGACTTTGTTCTCAGCACGCAGCGGAAGCTCGTGTGAAACGCGTTTTAAAGCCGTGAGGGTCAGTGGGCCCAAAGCGGACAATATTACACAGTGTAGACCCCGGTCCTTACAAATGGTATCGAGCCGACTCCCGATCAAGCGTGTGGGGCCACAAGCCGAGGACGCCTGTGCTCGAAGGAGGGAGAATGTAACGACCCGGTCCGACGAGGCGGAGAGTGGTCGCCGGGGCGTAGGGCCTGGACAAGGAGCGGCTCTTGGCGAGCTTCTAGGATGGCAAGGGGGCATGTCTCTGTCCCACATCGCTTAGGGGGGGAGTCCTGGGCTAGTTTATAAGGCTTGGGTTCTCTATTCTGTGTAACGCGTTTTAAAGCCGTGAGGGTCAGTGGGCCCAAAGCGGACAATATTACACAGTGTAGACCCCGGGTCCTTACATTGAGCTGGTTCATTCAGATCTTTGCGGTCCAATTTCACCGGTTTCTAATGGAGGTAAACGATATCTGATCACATTCATTGATGATTTTAGTCGAAAGGTGTGGGTGTATTTCTTGCATGAAAAATCAAGCTTTTGAAGCATTTAAGAATTTCAAGAGTCTTGTCGAAAAGAAAGTGGCAATCCAATCAAAGTTCTTCGAACCGATCGTGGAGGAGAGTACAAGTCTCTTGAGTTTGATGATTTTTGTACGAAGCATGGAATTCGTAGGGCAACTTATCATGCCTTATACACCACAACAAAATGGTGTATGTGAGAGGAAGAATCGAACCATCCTCAACATGGTGCGAAGTCTATTGCGAAGTAGTGGAATTCAAGAAGTTTTGGCCGTAGGTCAGTAAATTGGAGTGTCCATCTCTTGAACAAGTCCCACACTTGCTGTTCTGAATATGACTCCTGAAGAAGCTTGGAATGGACGAAGGCCGACGGTTGGTTACTTCAAAATTTTCGGGTGTATAACATATGCCCGCGTTCCAGATCAAAAAAGGAAAAAGCTTGACGATAAAGGAGTAAAATGCATCTTTCTTGGTGTAAGTGATCAAACAAAAGCTTACAAACTCTATGATCCTGTGACCAAGAAGATTATAATCACCGTGATGTAGTATTTGACGAAGAAAATTTCTGGCTTTGGAATGATCAAGTGAAGGGGCTACACCAATTGTAGCTGATTTTGAAGAGATTGGTGAGGAAGACCAACAACACAATTTGGTCTCGCCGCAATGCTTCGACCCTATTGAAACAGGAGCAAGCAGCCCAATTCGGAGATATTGCTGCAACACATGATGAACGCCCCCAACGTCACCGACAAAGGCCAGCATGGATGAGAGATTATGAGGTGTCTGGAGTTGATCAAGGTGAAGATCCGTTAACTCACTTTGCTTTGTTTGCAGATAGTGATCCAATTACTTTTGATGAAGCAGTAAAACATCAAAAGTGAAGAGATGCAATGGATGCTGAAATTAAAGCAATTGAGAAAAACAATACTTGGGACTTAACAAATCTTCCCAAAGGCCACAAGACTATTGGTGTCAAGTGGGTCTTCAAGACAAAGCTGAACAAGGATGGTGGCATTGACAAATACAAGGCGCGTTTGGTGGCAAAAGGCTATAGGCAAGAATACGGAGTGGATTACAAAGAGGTGTTCGCGCCAGTTGCGAGACTTGACACAATTCGATTGGTGATTGCGCTAGCAGCTCAGAGATCGTGGTCTATCCATCAGTTAGATGTCAAGTCTGCCTTTTTACATGGTGATCTCCAAGAACAGGTATTCATTGACCAACCTCCTGGATATGTGAAGCCTGGTTGTGAGAATAAAGTATACAAACTAAAGAAGGCTTTATATGGATTAAAGCAAGCTCCTCGAGCTTGGTACAGTAGGATTGAAGCTTATTTTTTGAAGGAAAGCTTTACGAAGTGTCCTTATGAACATACTTTGTTTATTAAGGTTGATCATGGTGGGAAACTACTTCTTGTATGCTTGTATGTAGATGATCTCATCTACACAGGGAATAATGGTGCCATGATGGAGACATTTAAGCAATCCATGATGCATGAATTTGAGATGACAGATCTTGGGTTAATGCACTATTTCTTAGGCATTGAAGTTAATCAATCTGCAGCTGGTACATTTGTTTGCCAAAAGAAATATGTGCAGGAGATTTTAGAGAAGTTTCAGTTGAAGGATTGCAATTCAGTTGCCACACCAATAGAGGTTGGATTAAAGCTCACCAAGGATCCTGGTGGAAGGAAAGTGAATAGCACTATGTACAAGCAAATTGTGGGAAGTCTCATGTACTTAACAACAACAAGGCCTGACATCATGTATGGTGTTAGTCTCATCAGTAGATACATGGAGAGTCCCACCGAAAAACATCTTCAGGCTACAAAGCGTATTTTACGCTATTTGAAAGGGACATCATCTCTTGGGTTATTTTACAAGAAAGGAGAAAGATCAGATTTGCTTGGTTTTACTGATAGTGATTACGCTGGTGATATGGATGACCGAAAAAGCACTTCTGGTTATGTGTTTATGCTTGGTTCAGGGGCTGTCTCATGGTGTTCAAAGAAGCAACCAATTGTTACTCTTTCGACCACTGAGGCTGAGTTTGTGGCTGCCACCTCGAGTGCTTGTCAAGCTATTTGGTTAAGGAAGATTCTTGGAGAACTTCGGTTTAAACTAGAAGAAGCAACGACAATTTTCTGTGACAACAGTTCAGCCATCAAATTGTCAAAGAATCCAGTTCTACATGGGAGAAGCAAGCATATAGATGTGAAGTATCATTTCTTGAGGGATCTTACAAAAGATGGTGTGATTGATCTTGTTTTCTGCAGAAGTGAAGATCAAGTTGCTGATTTGTTCACAAAACCTCTTAAAATGGCCACATTTCAAAAGTTAAGGAAGCTCCTTGGAGTTTGTTCGATGGATGCCTCAGATTAAAGGAGAGTTTATTTCTACACATTTAAACCGATCACTTGTAGTATCAGTTTAAGGGAGGGCATGTTAGAAAGAGTCAAAGTTGTTTTTTTATGTTTTTCAATTAATGGCTAGTCGTGTGTTTCTGTTACTTAGTGGATCCTAGTTTTCAGGACTTAGTTGGCAGCATGTTGCTGCACACGTTCACCATTTTGAATCAAAGTAGTTGCTATTTTTGTTGGGATCTCTTCTGTTGATGTACAGCCTATAAAACGGCTAAGTTGTTAATTTCAAGAATAGACGAATGCAGTAAGCATCTTCAACCAGTGTGTCTCTCCTTTCTGGGTTTCTTTTTGGTGCTTGCAAAGCACAGGCATCTTCTGCATTTTTTACTGTATCATTCTCAAATCTCCCACGGAGTCGGGCCTCTAGTCTCTCGATGACTTCCTCTCTAGCAAAACTTACATCTCCAGGTCTCTTTCTGGGTTCAGTTGCTCAATTCGACATTTTCCTCTGCATGTTGGGATGCTTATGAGCATTTTCTTGTCAGAGATCGGCTCACAAAGGACGACATGTAGCAGCGGACGATATGAAGCCTAGTGGTTCGATTCGTTCGCTTATGCAAGCAAGTGGTACGAGTGTGTTCCTCACATCTCTTAGCGAGATTTGTTTTGCTTGTCGACTTGCTTGTTCAAGACTTATAGCTCAATTGCTCATCGAGGATGTTCCCGATTTTGCTCACTCTGGACCTTGTTTTTCTCTAAGATCGCTACTAATAGTTTGTGTAGTGATTGATTCAACGGTTGATATTTTCATTAGGTTGATGCTAGTTCTTGATCATAATCTAGCCGGCAGCTATGAACGGAAAACGCGGTAGAGAGAGATGTAAAAAAGAAAGAAAGAAGTGGAACCGTAGAAACCACAACTTGGGTTGTTTTTTCATTCGAACTCTCAAGGGGCTATATGGATCTAAAGTTATGGTGGAAATAGTGATCGTTATAGGAAAGAGATGTTGAATGGAAACATTAGTATAAATGGTAAAAGAATCGAATCCGAGAAATTCACCGCCAGTTTACTAGCCATGAGTTTACCAAATGGTTTATCAAGCTTTAGAAGTGCTCCAAAAAAGCACTTGACTCGTCACTTTTTTCTTTTTGAAAGAGTAGTGCTTTCTGGGACAAAGGCAGAGACATTTCATTCCATGAAAGCCAAGGACCAAATCAAACATACCGTGTGGACCAAAGTTGGATGTGCGCTGACTCCACCGTACATAGCGGTGTCCACTTGGACATCCTTCACCAACCCAACTGATGTGCAAGTGCAGTGCAACTAGACCTAATCGATCCCCCATAATTGTCAATATATCCAATAAAAATTGATGTTCGGAGACGATTTAGGGCGGCGAAAATTTGTTTTCTTCAATCAAGCCAATCATGTTCGCATTGTATCATGATTAATTTTTATCGATCATGGTAGTCACAAAATGAATCTATCGATAGTTTTTGCATTCTTTGTTGATGCGACTTCATTACATGATTAAATGACTAATGAACATAGAACGGTTAAGTTATAATCACGCATTTATTCACCTCGCGTAGCGTCTTTGCCGACCGCCCTCCACCCACTCGCCACCTAACGATCGTCTCTTCTCCACCATTAATCAGCAAACTTCATCCCCCCGCCTCCATCGGTTCCCCCATCCGGGCGCCTCCCCCGTCGCAACCTCGTGGCCGAGATCCCCTGCCCGAGAATGATCCACGAAACAGATGCCTAGCTAACAATCATCGGAGACCGACGGGGATGGTGCGGGAATGGGCCGAAAGTGGCCAGAGGATTAGCTCGGCCGAACCGACACGGCAGAGCGGGACCTGATCAAAGATCCGAAAGTCCAAACACCCAAAAAACCGTGCTTTTCCACGGCCCGGTCGTCCCCTACGCCATAGTTTTTTCCAATTTTCTCAGCGCTTTCTGTCGTTCCATCGGCGAGTCAAACGCGTTCGTCCGGTCCTCGCAGCTTTTGCTTTCAAGGTTCTAAGTTCGACTTCCAACCCATGATACTTGTGCACGATCCGTACGAAGATAGAGGAAGAGCAACTTATTTTTAAAAACAAGAATAAGAAAAACGAAAGTGTCACGAGTTTAACCCATGAAGCATGCTACGATTTTATTTCAAATATTAAAGAATGACTAACCATTCTCCAGAAAAATTGAACATCATATATCCACTTTAGGTTCCTTGCCCTCTATCCGAAAAAAATACAAAAAAATCATAAACCTATTATAATGATATCAATTTAGTCTTAAATCTCATGATGATTTTTTAATGTAATTCTTTTAGCTAATTTTGCAGCAATATCACTGACGTGACACTTCTTTGCTCTAAGCTGTTATTGTTGACGCCTACGGTGTGAAATAATTTTTGTAACTTTTTTTTATAAATTTCATAAATTTTTTTCTTTTCTTTTTTTTTTTTCGTTTCTTTCTTTCCCTTTTTCCACTGAAAAATTAAAAAAAAGTTCATTGAAAATTTAGAAAAATTTTATAAAAAAATTACAAAAATTGTCCACATCAGCGCCGACCGTTTCACGTAGGATGATTGGCGTTTATGTCAGTGATTTCCAGCCAATAAGGACTACATTGATAAATTATCAAAAGTTTTTAGACTAAATTGGCTAATTGCAAAATTTAGATTTGCGTTGGCATACTTATAATAGGTTTATGGCTTCTTTTTTTTGGGATATTATCCCCCCTCTATTTTGCTATATCTTTCATTAGGTTAAGCTTTACGAGAATAATTAAGTGATCTTTGCCATTTTAATCAACTTTAGGTCCGTTTTCCCCCTCCAAACTAATTTTTTTTTTAAATTTCTGTTACTTCTTGATGATCCCGTGGAAATAGGTTCAAGATTCCTACCTTCTCAAAAGTGTTCATTTCGAAGGATGTTGACCGTGTGTTGTAATCTTCCTCTCGTGTGATTTAATGCCCGTGGTAGGTAAGACTTTTAGCCTTGAATTGAATGGGCAAAAGTATGGGTGAGCGATTCTAGGTTCCAAGTTCCTTAGAATTTGTACCCAAGGGTAACCTGGAACGTGGAACCTACCCTTGGAACCCTAACGATGCTACTCATCATGCGCCCGGCTTTAACAGGTTTTTTTTTCATTTTTAGTTAAACAAAACTAAAATGAATGCAATAGTACTGAACAAGCTTATCATTCACCAAAAAGAATACAAAAGACTATTTTTCTTGACATTATTATTTGAATAAATACAATTAAAATGAGAAGCCATTACGTGAATCTATACTAGGGGTGAGCGGTTCTATATTCTGTACAGGTTCTACTCGGAACCTACCCATGAGAATAGATTAATTATTTTTTGAAACTTGGAACCTATCCTATCACAGATTCCAGGGTCTACCCAAATTCTACCTGAATTATTAATTGAATGATTGCAGTGAATCGTCACCTTTAATGACCACCACTAGCTATTATTATCCATTGACCAAACTTATATTTAGACACATGAAAAATATGAAGCATTAACAAGTCATAAAATGAAAGCTCAGACTAATGATTTTAGATTATATACTCGTCATCTAACGCCATGAAACACCGCAGGATCACGGGAAGACATAGATCAAGAAAAAACACAAAAAAACTGATTTAAATTCCAAGTTCTAGGTTCCACCTATCGAGAACCTAGAACTTACCAGTCAAAACAGGTTTCCTAATTTTTGAAACTTGGAACCTACCCTACATATCTCGGAACCTAGAACCTACAGGTTCCCACCGGTTAGGTTCTCAGATTTCAGGTTCTATCCTAGAACTATGCTTAACTGTGTCCACCGTGACACCAAAAATCAAGTGACACATTTACCTTCCAACAAAATTTTGTCAATGAAAACCATTAAAAATCAACCTACATGGACGTCGGAAAGCAAACAACGTTGACATGGCGTTTATGTGGCTTAAGTGAAATAAAAATGATGTTGTTTTGATTGAAAAATCATTTAAAAGAACCTTGATGGAGAGTAAATGCGTCACATAGATACAAATTTGATTTTTTTTTTATGCTACAAGAAAAAAATCAGGATAAATATGCCATAATGGGCATAGCTTAGGATTTTTGATGTTATAAAAAAAAGTTCAAAGTAAGTGTGTCATAATAGGTATAATTTGAGATTTTTTGTGACTTTTTCCCTAAATAAAACTAGCTCACTCCACCCATTATGATCCAGCTATTCTAGCCCACCCCAAAAAATAATTTGCCACGTGCATGCGCACAGGTGATACCGTGAGGTCTCCGTTGTCGTATTTTCCCAAATTTCAGAGAGGACGAACCTCGTAATCTCGCGGGGTCCGCATGACATATTACTCGCCTTGGATGCTCGGAAAATTTCAAATGTTTTTTTTTTTCTAGACAAAAAAAACTTTCAAATGTTTTTATTACCTCGGAAGGGAGAAAAAAATTTATTTCCAGATGAGTTTGCCGAATTGACAAGCCGCGGCTTTATTTTGAAAAATATGAACCTCGAGGTTAATGTATAGTCCCCATAAGAAACAAAAAAGTCCCGAGGAAATGATTTTTCACTCGGAATATATCGGTTACTTCTTGGTTAATAATTTTGAATTTCTCGTGTGAACCCGAGAATTCTTTAAAATCAACATAGTCATAATTATCGAACCGGTAAGCAATGATATATCCCATGACGATAGTTTAAAAAAAAAAAAAAACAAATACGGGGCAGGAAACGACGCCGTATTGCTCCTTCCCACCTCCCCGGCTCGTACAAGTCAACGCCCGCGATTCAACGCCTTCGTCATTGCAATGCAGAAAAGTACAAGCTCCGACTGGTCGGTCGGAAAGTGGGAACGCCGCAGGAAAATTGTCTCCTCCCCTTCGCTCGTTCAGACGTCGACGACGTCGGAAACAATCCTTTCTCGGCACGTTCCGGATCTGTTGAAAACCACGAAATTCACACCTTGCTTTCACATTCATTTACGGCAGGAAAACCCGCACCAACGTGTATATAAACGCACCCGCCCATGTGCTCATTGCGTGCACGGTCAACAATCGCTGCTCCGCTACGAATTTCGCCAACCCCCACCTCGTTTCGCCTCCGAGAAAAACTCTTGTTCAGTTCCTCGAGGGGTGTCTCGAGAGCGACCGCCATGGACGGAGCTGTTGCGCTGCTCTCGCTCGCTCTGTCCTCTCTGTTCCTCGCTCCGTCTCTAGCTCAGACGACATGCCAGAGCTACGCCTTCTCGGGCAACAGGGTCTACGCGTCCTGCGTTGATCTCCCGGTGCTGAGCTCCTACCTCCACTGGAACTACAGCGAGACCTCGTACGTCGCCGACATCGCCTTCCGGGTCACCGAAGCGACGTCGTCCGACTGGGTGTCCTGGGCCATCAACCCCTCCGGCCTCGAGATGGTGGGTTCGCAGGCGCTCGTCGCCTACCAGAACTCGAGCGGGTCCATGTGGGCCTACACCTCCTCGGTGGACAGCTTCGGGACGACTCTGTCGCCAGGGAGCCTTAGCTTCGGGGTGACGAATATCTCGGCGGTGCTCGAGGGCAGCGAGATGACCATCTTCGCGACGCTGCAGCTGAGCAGCGGAATGACGACGGTGAACCAGGTGTGGCAGGTCGGCCCCATGGAGAATGGATCCCCCGGATCGCACGCGACGAGCGGCGCCAACGTCGATTCAGTTGGGACGCTGGACTTCCTGTCCGGGACCACTGTGGTGAGCAGCGGGTCGGGAAGCTCGAGGCAGCGGAGGAGGAATGTAAGCGGCCCACTAACTTCTGGAACTAGTTTTAGCATCGTTAGCTTTATTCGTTGGGAATTGTTTCAAAACACGAATCATTTTCATGAACGTTGATAAGATTTATATGGACTTGCAGGTGCATGGGGTGTTGAATGCGGTGAGTTGGGGGACACTGATGCCGATGGGGGCATTGATCGCGAGGTACCTGAAGGTGTTCCAATCGGCCAACCCTGCATGGTTCTACCTCCACGTCTCGTGCCAGGCCTCGGCCTATGCGGTCGGCGTCGCTGGCTGGGCCACCGGCCTCAAGCTCGGGAGCGAATCCTCAGCCAACAACAAGGTCCACGGCAACATCGGCCTCGCCCTTTTTGTCCTCGGAACTCTTCAGGTACGCTCAGAAGCTGCATCATGCATGGCCAAGCCAGATGATTTCACAATCAAAATTTGTCTATGCACGCGAACTCGACATGATCTCACGTATTGACAATTTGGCCGTGCTTGTGCTTTGCCAGGGATTCGCGCTGCTCTTGCGGCCCAAGAAGGATCACAAGTACAGACTCTACTGGAACATATACCACCACACGGTCGGATACACGGTGATCGTCCTGAGCATCGTCAACGTGTTCAAGGGGCTGGACATACTGGACCCGGAACAGAAATGGCGGACCGCGTACATCGGGATCGTTGCCTCCTTGGGGGCCAGCGCCGCGGTTTTGGAAGCTGTCACTTGGTACATCGTGATCAAGAGAAAAAAGACGGCATTTTCAACACCAAAGATCTCTCACAGCATGAATGGAGACGATGGTTATAGCAATGGCAGGGTATAGTACGAGATTTTAGTCATAGATTCTGATTTTTTTTTTCTGTTCAGCTCCATGTTGAGGGTCTTTTGGATTGACCCATATGATAGAGAGAGCCTATTATTTTTTTTCCTTATTAGGCTGATACATGTGTGTATTGGAGGTGGGCTGTCCATTATTCATGCATATTGGGTCGATCCCGTGCTTCTTTTGGCCTTTAGACTTCTGTTTTCTTTTCTTCTCCTTCATCGTTCCAAATCCGTTTCTAACGAAGATGGTGATGTGTGATTAGATTTAAGTAGACCCGTCAAACTGGTGGATCGGATCGGATTTGGGCCATTAAAGTTTACATAACCCATATATTACCCGTTTAATAGAATATGAATCATTTTGACACCCCCTAAATTTAAGGTGAGAGTGAAAGTCATTAGTTTCACCAATTAACCTAAATTTTAAGGAGTTCTTGGTGATGCCTTATTGTTAATTGAAAAGAAATTAAAAATATATAATGTCTAGGAGAAGTAGACTATGCTTATGAATTATGACATCAAAAGTTTTGGTAATGACACTGTGCCTTTGTCAATTGTCAATCTAGGAGAGGAGTAGGATTTCGCAGCCGCATTTGGAAATTTATGAACCAATTAGTCAGATACATGTACGGCAAGACTTTTCTTAATGTGATTAGTCTGACCTTAATTATTCTAGAAGCCATGATTATTACAAGGGAAAATTACAAATACTATCCTTGACTTTCAAAACATATACGTTTTTTTTTCTTTTCAATCGAGTTGCATCTCTGGCCCATATTTAATTTATCAAATTATCATTTTATTTCCAAACTACCCTCGGTCCAAAGAAAAAAAAAAAACCAAAGCGACTACTTGCCTCCTCTCTCTCTCCGATAGGCAGACGCACTCCCCTTTGTGCCTCAACCTCTCCACCACACGCCATCGTTGCTCCTCTCGAGGCCTGTACATAGGGATAAAATTGTGCAATAACTTTCATATGATGCTCACTTGAGGACCATAACTTTTTGTTTCGATCATTGAGTGCTACATTAATGAAAAATTTATCATTTAAGTGTCATTGGCGATTTGTGTTGCTGAAAAGTTTGAAGTGACATTTATTATAAATTAACCGATATAGCTCGTCGGAGCAATCCAATCAGCAAAAGCCCAAGAAACGACGTCATTTTGGCCCTATAAGTACAAATAAGAAAAAAAGAAAAAGAAATGGAGAAATTTCAAATAAAGGCTCGAAGTGCTCTCTCAAATATGGGCCCGAAATATATTTTGTGGAAAATTGACAGTAAAATTTAATGGAAATTAACGGAGGGTAAATTTATCACATGTATACCAGTTTTGGATTTTTGGTAGTTAAAAAATTAGTTTATGGCAAATTTGTCATATACGTACCAATTTAGAGTATTTTATGATCAAAATATTAATTTGGGGTAAATTTTATTATAAATGTATTAGTTTGGGTTTTTCGTGATGTTAATAAAAAAAAAAAAAGCATTCCTGGGTTAAAACCCGATTCGGAAATTCCTATGCAACCGTCGAAGGTTACCTCGCTCGCTCGCACAATCTCGGCCACACACACGAAGCACCACACAAACCTTTGCAGGTTCTCCGAGCAACATCAAGAATCAAGAATTTCAGCTGGAGAAGCATTCACTTCTCTTCTTGCTCCGCTCCGAGCGACGACCACCATGTTCGCCGTCCACAGAATGGCAGCGTCCCACACTCTCTCCTCTTCGGTCCTCCTCTCCAGCCCCTCCTCTTCCCGCGCGCCCCTGATCCCCGCCCTCTCGGCCGCGAAACGGCTCGTTTCGCCGGTCCCGAGGCGGTTCCCGGCGAGCGGGCTCGTGGGTTCGGGAGCTCGTAGCAAGAAATGGAGCGGGGTCTCTTGGGCGCGCTGCGCCGTGGCCACTGAGTCGGCTCGGTCCGCTAGCACGAGCCAAACCGAAAGCCTGGAAGAAACCCAGAAAGGAGAGGAAGAGAGGATCGTCTTGCCCACCAACGAGTCATCGGATGGACTCCTGCGAATTCGCCACACGGTATCGGAGCTCATTAAATGCGTTCAACCCTTTTGTTTGTTTATTTTTCTTTCTGTTTTTTTGGGTTGATTAGATGTGCTTGGTTATGTCTCTCTAGAATTCCGGGTTCGAGTGATGTGTCGTGAGCTGTGAAGTTACTGTTGTACTTTGGGATTTCAAAACTTGCGTCAAGTATGGGTTTTTTCAATGAACTGTCATTGAATTGGCATTTGGGTGATGTTGGTGTATCCGAAATGCTCCAGTTGACTATGCATTTAGTGGATGCTTTCAATCTGGTCAATAGTCAAGCTACCATTTTTCTTTTTCCTGAAGATGTCTGACTGTAAGAGATGGCGGATTCTCGAATTTTAAAATAATCTCAGAGTGGATCGCGGCGTCCATCGAGTTTGTACAGGATTAGACTTGATGATTTCGTGGATAGCTGATTTCATTGTGCTGTTCTTCTTATGACCAACTGCGAGTAGTGTTTGAATGCAGTGCGCGCACGTGATGGCTATGGCTGTTCAGAAGCTCTTCCCAGATGCAAAAGTGACGATTGGGCCATGGATAGACAATGGATTTTACTATGATTTTGATATGGAGCCATTGACAGATAGAGATTTGAAGAGAATTAAGAAGGAAATGGTGAGCAAAAAATACACAATCAATGCTGGTGTTTTTTCACTTTGCCTTTGTTCATTTCCAAGAATTGGTTATACTAATTGAATAATTGTTTGGAGATTATTCATTAATGTATGCTTTCAGGGCACGGATTTACTTCTTGCATAATCTGTAGGACTGTATCATTGGGAAAAATTTACCCCTTTTAAGAGAAGAAGTTTCCAGAGACGAAGCTCAGAGAAGAATCACGGAGATGAAGGAAACCTACAAAATGGAGATACTGGAAAGTATCGAGGAAGAGCCGATTACCATCTATCATATTGGTAAGCCTAGTTATTTCTTCAGTGCCTGCTCTATTTTGCAACCGATTTAGTGATGTCCTTTGGTTGTAATTCCTGGATCGTAATTATGCCTGTGACTCAAACTGTTTTTAATTTAAATAGGTCTCTTGTTTTCACCTTACCCCTTCGAGAAACCTTTTGACAGAAGCGCAATAAGTTTTGCACAAGTGAAAACTTTTCTCCTTGTTGAGGTGCAATTACACCCTTTTTCTACCCAGTTGACATATGATTGCATATTAGCATTATGCAACTGAAATTTGTGCTGCATGCTGTAGCTTAGCTGTACTATATAGTGCCTCAACCAGTGCGCGCGCGAGAGAGAGAGAGAGAGAGAGAGAGAGAGAGAGAGAGAGAGAGAGAGAGAGAGAGACTTGTTTTGCGGGTTATGTCATTCATAGATGTAATAATCTGCTTCCTTCTACATAGTTGGCGAGTATTCTTTTGTTCATTTAAATGTAGGAATTATTTTAAGTTCCTTTTGTGTTCTTTATAGGAAATGAATGGTGGGATCTGTGTGCTGGTCCTCATGTTGAATCTACGGGAAAAATTAATCGGAAAGCTGTCGAACTGGAGTCTGTTGCTGGTGCTTACTGGAGGGGAGATGAAAAGAGACCAATGCTGCAGAGGATCTATGGCACTGCCTGGGAGAACGAGGAACAGTTGAAAGCATATCTTCACTTTAAAGAGGAGGCAAAACGCCGGGATCACAGGCGCATTGGCCAAGATCTCGATCTCTTCTCCATTCAGGTAAATCGTTCTGCTAGACGCTATATTACTTCATATTTTGAACAAATGAACTTCTCCATATTTCATCTTACTGTTTATCAAAAATCTGAAGTTGGCGCAACAGTTTAATGCAATATGAAATCTTACTTTCAAATTTTTTGTGTCCCTCGATGATTATTTGCAGGAAGAAGCTGGTGGAGGATTGGTGTTCTGGCATCCAAAAGGGGCCATTGTACGACACATTATTGAGGACTCCTGGAAAAGGATACATATGGAACATGGTTATGATCTCTTGTATACTCCACACGTCGCAAGGGCACATCTTTGGAAGACCAGTGGTCATTTGGACTTCTACAAAGAAAATATGTATGACCAGATGAACATTGAGGATGACCTCTATCAGCTTCGTCCTATGAATTGCCCCTATCACATATTGGTCTACAAAAGGAAACGTCACTCTTATCGCGATTTTCCCATCAGGGTTGCAGAGTTAGGAACAGTGTACAGATATGAGTTGTCTGGAAGCCTACATGGCCTATTTCGTGTAAGAGGTTTCACGCAGGTGTGTCATACTGATCCCACAGGGTATTTAGTCTGTCACTTCAATTTAACTTTTGAGGTGTATTTAATTGCATGATATGATTACGAATAATTGCTTAATTGTTTATGATAGTGCTAGTATGTATTTAATTATCTTGATCCATAAACTTTAGGCCTCTTGGTTATAAGATGTCCAATTATGTATGGTCCTCTAAGAAGTGTAGGATGTCCTGTCCTTTTAGCATCATCTCTTTTCCTCAATTGGATTATTTATGTGAATGTCCAAAATAATGAACTTGATTAATTCAGGCTATCTCTATTCTTTTTATATTTGGTAGGATGATGCCCACATATTTTGTCTAGAAGATCAAATCAGAGGTGAAATCAGGGGAGTTCTGGACCTTACAGAAAGAATTTTACTCCAGTTTGGCTTTAGCAAATACGAGGTTAATCTATCTACCAGACCAGAGAAAGCTGTCGGGGATGATGATATATGGGACAAGGCTACAACTGCTCTTAGAGAAGCTTTAGATGACAAAGGATGGAGCTACCAAATTGATGAAGGTGGCGGTGCATTTTATGGTCCAAAGATTGATCTTAAGATCGAGGATGCACTTGGAAGGAAGTGGCAGTGCTCAACCATACAGGTAACTTCAAAGCAATCAGAGCTCAAGCAAGTTGAGTTTTGACGCAAGTTTAGATTTTGATAGGTTGGTTTTTGTCGATGATTCTCTTTGTGCTCACACGCACGCTTTTCAGGGTTATTTTGTTCAGAATGAGATGACTAGAAGATTAAAAAAGAAAAAGATGATGGTTACAATATGGTTGAATCTGGACTAAGTATTCATTTTATCTCTAGTATCTTGCTTGAACTTTTCATTTATCAGTAACTCCATTTTGTTATCTGCAGGTTGACTTTAATCTTCCCCAGCGGTTTGATATTACCTATGTTGACTCGAATTCAGAAAAGAAGCGGCCTATCATGATTCACAGGGCAGTGCTTGGATCACTCGAGCGATTCTTTGGGGTCCTTATAGAGCACTACGCAGGAGATTTTCCATTATGGCTTTCTCCAATACAAGCTCGAATTTTGCCAGTTACGGACAACCAGGTGAGAACTCAGCTTTTAAGAACTTTCTTGGCTATGATCTGTTGGTCATGCCTAGCTTCTGGAGGGTGATTCAACACCGTCGGGTCAATTTCCTTTGGTTCAGTCGCCCTTTAAAACTGAGTTGCTTATGTTTAATGCAGCTCGAGTTCTGCAACGAGGTGACTCGGAAATTGAAAGAGAATGGTGTTAGAGCTGAAGTTTGTCATGGTGAGCGCTTGCCAAAACTTATCAGAAATGCCGAGAAGCAGAAGATACCATTGATGGCGGTTGTGGGCCCCAAGGAAGTCGAAACTGGAACTGTGACTGTCAGATCTAGATTTGGCGGGGAGCTCGGGAGTATAACCATCGATGACTTCATCTACAGAATCACAAAGGCCAGCGAAAACAGAACCTTGTTTTGAATTTCCCGAGACTGAATAAGGAGTCGGCGGGCACCTGTTTGTTTTGCAAAGGAGAATACAACCGGTAAAAGAAACTGCGATATAAATGACAATTTGAGCACTGGAGGGTTATTGTAACAAATTTTGCTGTACATGTATTCCTTAGAATTATCTGTACATATTCCACTGATAAGAAACGGGTATCCATATCTTTTCGTGCTTCTAATGAACAATGCTACGTGCATTTGACCCTGAGTAGAGGCGATCAGCGCCAGCATGGCCGCGCAGCCCGCCCAGGCCCTAGAGGTAAATGGGCGGGTTCGGTCCAAGGTCTTACATGAGAAAGACTATCTTCGGTGTTGGCCCTGCTCCAAACTCCCTATGTGAATTATGATATTGGCGGACTCAGGCAACACATTAGGCCCGACCTTTGGGTCTGTTCGAATCCGCCCACTGATCTAACCTCTGACCCTGACATACTCCAAGATTGGAGGACTATTGCAATCGATGGAATTAAAAGCCGAGAAAAAGAGTATGACAATGTTTAAAAGCTGCTTATAATCCAATCTTCGTTGATTGCTCATTTTGATTATCTACCACTCAGTTTATCTTTATTTGCCAGTACCTCACTCCTTAATATAACATATCGGGTTTGCAGCTTCTGCACGAAACTTAATGCTGATTTTCTGCAGATCTTTCAGTATTCCTTCTTTCCATTATTGTGTCGTTAGTTCTTCTACTGGGATTGCTTTGTTTGCATTTCTTGAATCTGAATGTGTTCTTGTACTATCTGGGTAAGGAACAACATATTAAGTCCGGCAATGTTGCTCAAGCTCAAACTATGTTCGCTTTAATGATTCAAACTAGCAGAAATCTAGAGAGGAGAAGCTATTGAAAGTTCGGCAAGACTTCTGAAAAATTATAGAGGATGGTTCATTTCACGAGTCTTCCCCAATTCCCTGAGGAGGATGACAGATATAAGAGTTTATCAGACTCTATTAACGGGAATTTTATGGCCCTTGCACGTCTCTATATCGTCCATTTGCAAACTATTCTTATGCTTGGCCTCATTTAGCTGAAATCATTCTTCAACATCCATAATGTGATGGCTGGGGGATAAGTTAGCTAATAATAGCATCCCAGTTGAGCCACAAGAATTAAACCCTTAATTAACTTTGCGGCTAATTATAGTCCAAACTTCATGTTGTTTTGAGCTTCCACACTCGGATAAGGAGCATTAATCCGAGATATGAATATCTTATTGTTCTTAGTGACGGATTTATTGGGAGAAATGAAGCAGTGTATAGACATGGGCAAAAGATCAATTTTACCTGCTGCAATTGCGCTTCTGTTTCTCACTTCCACAGCAAAATCCCAAGTTTATGATGTTAGGAAATATGGCGCTAGTGGTGGCGGGAGTTCGGATATCACCCAGGTACGGGAACATCTCTGAGGCAATCCTTCTTGTCAGTCCTGTGGATATTGTGTGAATTGTGTTTGATGATGTTGTTTTTCTACTCAAAAAGGCTTTAGTTAGCGCATGGAAAGAGGCCTGCGCATCAACAAATGCTAGCAAAGTCATGGTACCGGCAGGGACATATGTTTTAAATGAAGTGGTCTTGGGAGGTCCTTGCAAGGGCTCGATTGAGGTCCAGGTCGATGGAACACTCAAGGCCCCTGCAGATCCTGCCCAAATGAAGACCGACGGGTGGGTCACGTTCCAGAACGTTGACCAGTTCACATTGTCAGGTGGCGGAACTTTTGACGGTCAAGGGAAAACTGCTTGGACAAAGAATGACTGCAGCAAAAAGAAGGATTGCAAGAACCTTCCTATAGTAAGCTTGTTTCGATCTTCATTTTACATTGTTAACTGCAGGATCATTGCACCTTTAATTGAAAACTTTAAGGAGTGGTATATCAATTTTTGCAGCCGAATAATCTGTCAAGTCTTTATCTGCAATTCTTGTTATATGGAGACATTAATTCTATCTACTGTGTTTGAAATGAATAGAACATAAGGTTCAACTTTGTCACCAATGGCATAGTCAAGGACATAACTTCCCTTGACAGCAAACAGTTCCATGTGAATGTTTTGGGCTGCAAAAATTTCACGTTCCAGCATGTTACCGTCACCGCGCCCGGAGATAGTCCCAACACAGATGGAATCCACATTGGTCGTTCAACTGGGATCAACATTATTGACACCGGCATCAAGACTGGGGACGATTGCATTTCCATTGGTGATGGCAGTGAGCAAATAAACATCACAGGAGTAACTTGCGGGCCTGGTCATGGCATTAGCGTAGGGAGTCTTGGAAGATATCCAGGTGAACAGCCTGTGTCGGGTATCAGTGTAAAGAACTGCACGATTACTGGCACGATGAACGGCGTTAGGATCAAAACATGGCCTAATTCTCCTGCTGGAAGCGCGACGGATATGCATTTCGAGGATATTACAATGGACAATGTCGGGAACCCTGTCCTCATAGATCAGCAGTACTGCCCATGGAATCAGTGCACAGCGGAGGTAACCAAAAAACCATTCTCCTGGGATACTTGCTATATGATCATGTGTTTGACCTGAGGTTCTGTTTTCAATTGTTCCATGCGATTTTTCAGGTTCCGTCCCAGATAAAGATAAGCAATGTCAGCTTCAAAAGAATCCAGGGAACTTCTTCAACACAAGTTGCACTTAAGCTTGCTTGTAGCAGCCGCTACCCGTGCGACAATGTGCAGATCAGTGACATTGATATCAGGTACCATGGTGCTGAGGGTCCCGCTACATCCTTATGTTCCAATATCAAGCCCATGATTTCTGGCAAGCAGAACCCAGCAATCTGCGCCAATGCGACAGGAAGCTCTGTTTCTCAGTAAACAAAATGCTTGTAACATGATGTCACATAGTTGATGGAGATTTAGACCATCTCCTACTGTTTCATGTAGGCTTCTAATCTAGCTACTATGAGAATTACCAGGTCAGAGTAAAATTAACGGCTGTAGAAATAAGAGATTTGCCTTGTTGTGTGATGATGATTTAATAAGTGAAGTTCTTCCATAATTTTGGCTGTTAAAGTCGTCATTGTCTATTTAAGGCATTAATTGTTCAGGTTTAAGAATGAAAAACGTAAGAGGTTCAGGTTTTTCCTCGAACTCTCCATACTTCACATGCACAGAATAGATATAGGAAGGAGGACAAACAGAGATCAAACATTATGCGCTTTTCTATGAGAACAGTTAGTTTGGTGCATGTTGTTGCGTTGTCACAGCTCTAGGCTTGGAGGGATTATCGTTAGAGAGCATGTCACATAAAACATGAACCCAATTATAAGATCGATTTGATCCTCGAGAATATCTTGTTCTCAAACTGTCACCCAGATACTTTCAGGACATTTGCTGCATCTTTTTTGGCACGCGCGAAATGATCTAAATATACTCAAACATTATGAACCGACCGTACCGTATCCATCTCAGTTCAACATTGTTCAAGAAGGAAGCATTCAATTCTTTGAGTTCCAGCGGACAACAAGAAATTGGGTGAATCTGAAGCACTTGCTTATCACATAAAAACCAGACATGTCACAGGAAAGACAGATTTTATGAGCGAACCCTCTCTAGGCCATAATCTAATCTTTTACGTCCCATCATCTTCCTTCACAATTCATGTCGGAGCATCCTATTCCGAGAGATGCCTTAGGAGAAGGCAGTCTTCTTTGTTTCGAATAGCTTGGTCGAGTTGCAATGTGATGAATTCGTCGTCGCTGAGTAAAGTGTGCCAAGATTTGCTTGCGCACTTGAATCTACAGACCGACTTAACAGGTAACCTGGACAGAATATCTACCATAATCTCATTCGGAAGACAGCCTAAATCAAAAGTCCTCACAGGTTTTTGCAACTGCGACATTTTTCGCCCCTCTGAGAGGATACTAGCTTAGACAATAAAAATTTATAGCCTTAAGGGAGACTTGCTCCTACCACAGTCGTATCTAGAGCTAAATCGTGTTATAAATGCAGAGATTCTTTTGACTAAAAGAGGCAAATTGTGAAGAGTATGTTGATAAATGTTTCGGAGACAAGGCATTGAAAGGTGCATCTGAGGAAGGAGCAAGCCAGTAATAACGAATCCGGAACTAAAAAAACGAAAGAAAAAGAGAAAATCCTGCTTGTTTAAAGGCGCAATCAACGCTGCACTATAACCGAATTCTCGAGAAACGAAGTCATTCATGCAGCCACTCCATATGGTGCATCTTGAGGCACCCGTGGAGTTACATAGAAGCTTCCCAGACTCGCAATTCCAACACTGTTCAATAAATGGTTAATTGGTCATAACACCATTGCGAAGCAAACTGTTACTGCAAAAGCCATAGGCAATGCACAGGTAGATTCTAATGAAATTGTGGAGTCCACAAAATCTTTGCCCTTGTTCAGCTCCAGGACATAATAGTCCTATCCTGGAATCTGCGGAGCGGTAATGCACATATAGTTTCTGGAAGTACTGCAGATGTTTCAAGAATTTTACGCACGTACATCGTTCCAGGGAAGTGAAAACATTGCATCAAGGTCGGCCAGCAGTCTCTTAAGAGTTCCTTAGAAGCTGTTGCTTCACTCAGTGTAAAATGGTCCCTTAAGGACGGCACAAGTGGTCCTTATCAGTTAGTCTTGGCAACTGCTTCCCAGCATCACCAGTACTCCAAGAGATGGGTGCCCCAACAGTCCCTAAATATTAACAATGGCAAGTGTACAGCCATCAGGGCAACGGCTAGCTTACTGTCGCTAGGGACCCTTGGGGATAGGAATTTAGGCTTTAGGGACGGTCTTGCCCATCCCCTATCTCTGTTTTTTAGCAGTGAATAATGTCGCTTTTAATTCTGGACGATTCGCAAATGAATAAACCACAACAGAGTTTCAGCGCCCTTGCATTTGTATACTGTAATTATTAGAAGCTTTGAAACATTTGCTTCATTACACTAAATAGATAGAAAGATCATAGAACACGGGAGCTAACTCTCCTTGTTACTTCGATGCCCTAAACTATGCTCCGAGAGAAGCTAATGCAACAGTGCAACAAACTAGTTCACTAACGCACACTAACTGCTTATACATATATCCACTCTCACTCATTTTATCCACCACACCACCGTGATCTTCTTTCAGCTTCATTACAAAGAGGAGGATCCTTCAACGCATACCGGTTGAGATCACTAGGACTCTCATTCCCTGAAGGCAGTGAAACCAAGCTCTCGATGTGATTAACATTTCTGACGGGCTGGAAGACACCAAGACTCTTGATGACCTAAACATTTGGCCTGCATACAACTAGCTCCCCATCATCGACATTCTTGACCACAACCCTCGATTTGTTGATCACGCATATAGGTCACATTGGCTCACCCTCCAGCAGGACCGAAATGCTTAAACCACGACTCCCCCACACCTTACTCCTTCATAACCCAACAGTCACAGGTCTCATACGGTGTGTAGACCATCAGGACATGAGATCCTGGGATCATAGATGATTCATGGAGGAGAATTTCGCATGCACGATCTGGATCCATTTTAGGCAGCGCTATCTCAGCAAAGTCATCATTCACTGTATCGAATCGAATGCAAGACTGTAGCACTCAGAATTTTCTTTTGCCATGACCTCCCCGTAGACTAACTGTTCTTTTCTTAAGGATTTATTTGCCCCACAATGTTGCTAATGGTTACCGGCAAAATCCTCCATGATACAACAAAGTCTCAAAATGAGAATACTAGATAGCAATTCTAGTATTTCTCCAAGGTCTCTCTAGGAAATAATTGAAAATGATGGTTGTAGTTTTCGAAAGAAGACTTGAAAAATTGATTTTTTTATCTCCTTCTTGCCAAAAACTGACATATATAGAAATCGGTCTTAAAGAACATAAGCAACTCTTCGCGAAAGGTTGCAAAGCTAACAAAGATATTCCTTCGGAAGAAGTTGCAAACTAAACAAATGCAACCATTCGGGAAAGATTGAAAACTGAACAAGTATAATCTCCAAAAGTTGTATTGAAAAGACACATGTAAAATTCGGAATAAAATAAAATAAAAATATATATAAATAAAATTCCGAATTTTCATAATTTCGAAAATTATTTAATAAACAAAAAACAACCTTTCAACTAATAAAGATTAATGAGATAACCTTACGAAATAAAATAAAAGTAAAGGGATTAGTGCTAAGTGCGCCTAATAATCGCGCACCCGCACGCGGGTATTGTGTGGACTAACACACACCCCATTGTCTTCTTTACTCTAAGAGCAAGCAAGATATTCACGCTTATAAAGTGGCTCACTTTCTCAAAACTTTCCTACGTGGGATAAAGGAAAGAAGATTATTTTGTTTGTTTTATAAACAAACATCCAACACTAACCGGTGCAATGCTCCATTCATAAAAGCTGGGATAGACTTTCCATGAAGTAGGAGCACATGAAGTTCGCATCAACCTTCTTTCATGAGGTCGTGCTCAACTAGCATGCCTCGACTTCATAAGCTTTGAGATGATAATGGTAGACGATCCTTACCCCCTTGTAGTCGTTCGTGGCGGGTTGAAATGCCAATCCAAAGGCGGCCAAAGTGATACGACCAGTGAACCTTCTGATATAATATCTTGGGAGAGTGAGGAACTCCCGAGTGGCGGGGTTCCATTAGAATGCATTCAAGAGGGTGTACAATGGATGGAAACTGGGTTCAGCCGGGAACACTATACCAATGCAGGATTCCACCACGGTGCAATAACTCGTCTTAACTTCAATTGGTGTTTCGACCCTACGAAACTCTTCAAAAAGACTTCCCAAGTCTTGATATTGCTTTCATTTTTTGAAATCCCAAAAGAGCCCTGAAAAGTTTTATCCTGTCCCACGTCAGACCATGGTGCAACTCGCCGTGTACGACTAGGTGGATTGGATGGACCACGGTGCAACCTGCCACGTTCATGGTCGGCGTTCACATCAGCGATTTCCAACCTAAATTGATCGGATCGGATGGATTGAATTAGCACAAATATGAAAATGTTTAGGATTAAATTAGTTAAACCGAAAGGTTTAGGACTGAATTGGTATCAATGGAATAAGTTTAGGACATTTTGGGTACTTTTTCCCTTGATTTTCTAAAAGCCCTCTTTTCTTTCCTTTTTTTCCCTTTTCCTTAGTGAGTAAAGCTGAGAAAGAAGAACCAAAAATTGAAAAAAAATGAGGAAAGATCTGAATAATTTACAAATCGAAAAGAATGGGAGTCCAATCTTCCACAGATGATGCTCATCGAATTCTCCGTTTCTCTCTCTTCTTCTCCAATTGTTGAGCTCTGGTTCCTCAATCTTCTTCTTCTCCTATCAAACTTCCAAGACAAACTCAAGGATTAGGGTTCATTTTCAAGTCAATTTGGGGGCACTAAAGGGCTAAACGACGTGGTTGTGGCCCCTTTTTTGCCAAGCCAGTTGAAGATTATCCATGTTGGTTAAAAAAAAACCATTTCGGCGTCCAAATTTTTTTAAAGAAGCTACGTGGCACGAATCATCGAAATAAGCACTTAATCGATTAATTGATACTCAAGTGATAGCTCGAAATTTTGATACCAAAGTGAGCGTTATATAAAAATTACTGCACTTCTAGCATCTTTTTCCCAAATAAAACCATAAAGGGATAATAATCTCTAGCCCTTTGGTAATCAGCCTTAGTGAAACTAACAACATAACTAGGAAAATTCATGGAACCTGCTGACATAAGCAAAAAGACTACAGTGACCATCACAAGGAATTTTATTAGGATATGCTTCTAAAGACATGTACTTAAACAAAAGAGTGAAGGAGCGAAAGAACTTTGAGCAAGTACATGATTTAAAGCATAGCCAATGTTAAAAGGGAGAATATAGCAGGAAAATGAACCGTGGAAAGGACTTCAAGCTAAGTGCGTGCTTGTCCCCATCAAGACTCAACTTGGCTCAATCATATCACTTCCTTGATAAACGCACTTCAGTCCTCATGTCATTTTCAATTAGTGGAAAACATAAAGAGGAGTGAAAAAAAAAAATTGCAAA